CTTAGTTTGGTGATCAACAAATTCTTGGTATAACTGCAGATGGTTTTCGGCTGTTTCACCTAGTTTTTTTCATGATTGGCACCTGGTTTTTACTTGTGAATACTTAACCTTCAGTGGTTTTACAGCATCAGTTTTATACGACAGAATCAGAATTTCCGTAACACCATTCGTTTTTCATTAACAGTTAAGGTATTTCCTTTGATTGCATGCTTGAATTGACTGGGATGTATGTTAGGATAGCACTTGGTGACAGATAGGTTTTCGGGACGCATTGCCCAAAGTCAACTTCAAATCCATAAATATTACTACACTACTTAGTCTTTCAAGCAATGCATATATATATATATATATATATATATATATATATATATATATGTATATATATATGTATATATATATATAAAATAATACTAGTGATTTACTTTTATGATGCCGACTGTGAACGTTGTTTCTGAGAGTCATTATGATTATCACATTTATACACAAATCAGTAGTAATCGACTATTCATTTATGTCTTGCTGCTTGTTTGACTTTTCATAATCTTGTTTTCTTGAGCCTTTTTGTAGATAAAAAATAGTCCCTGATAACTGACACCTCAAACTATTCATCTTTGTTTCATCCTTCCTAAACGCCACTGGCATTACGAAGAAGTCGATAAGATTTCTTCAATTTATGTAGTGATTGAACTCAAAACTTTGCTCTCAGAATCGGCTCATTTTTTAGGACCACTAAGTGCTGAATTAGTTATTTAAAGAATATCTTTTAGAAAATTCCATCAAATAGTCGGTTTATTCATGAATTTTAAGTTACAACAACATAATTTTGGATGGAAATTAAATTCCATGATGCAACCGACGATAGCGATTCCCTTTTTCCATTGTACTAGTAGCTGAAGTATATCTACATTAACATATGTTTGGTATTAACGAATTACAGCTTTATTTCTGCAATGCATCATCTATCTTTCCAATTCGGTTTATTAATATTTCCCCACTGATATGATAAGCAATCCCATGTACACGGTGATGATAGTAACCAATGCTTAGAGACTCTGAATAACATGGCTCCAAATCGTTTACACTGGCACAGGTGCATCCATTCTATGTCTTCTTTCGAGTTCTAATTTTCTGAATTTCTCATTACCGTTTTTCGTCCCTTTTTTTCTGAAAAACTGATTCCTCTAAGATATACTTCTCGAATGATATCTTCGAACATAAGTCTTTTTGATTACCGCTGGTATTTCTAATACCTCTACTACCATAGGATTTTAATTGACAGTTGAGTCTCTGTGTCCTAATGTGGTATGGCAACTTGAACTGATGTACGTACGTAACGAAGTTCTGCCTTGTAGCTGACTGACTGATCATGTACATAAGGATGATTTGTGCAACATAGTTTTTGCTCTACTTTACAAATATCAAATATCGCTTTCTGTGTGAGACTCAATTACAATATTTAAGAAACAATAAGCTGTTCCATGTTATTTATATAGTTAACTTCAATAAATATCCAATTAATCTTAATTTGAAGAAAAAGCCTCCCAATTAATTTATTAATTGTCAGTCTTCTTATGAAACAGACTCTTATCTTCACTTATTATCATCTACTGCACATATGCACTTCTTTGACAACTATCAAGTGATTACTTAGATGAGATCGATCTTCTTACATCAGCTATTTTGATATAGAAAAATCTCTCTCTAGTAAATGGAATAAGAATCTTTGGAATCTCAGTAAAAAATTGAAGTTACTTTTCAGTGTTTGTTTTTTTTAATTTGTATTATTGAAACTTGAATGAGTACATGGTTTACAATTTAATTTTACATAAACCCTTTTTTATCCATTGTTTATCATTTTAGTGAACTTTTCGTACAGTCTTCTTTTTTTTCTTCTGTTAAAAAAAATATCACAACAATTCAATCGACTGAACTGACAAACTATCAGCGTTGAAATTTGTCATTACAATTTTTCCTTCATTATTGAAATCAATCGTTATTATTGGCCAATCAGTTTGAATAACTTTATATCACCTAACCAGTACAGATAGATAGATAGATACATCGATGAAATCTTGATTGTAAAGAGAGAGAGAGAGAGAAAGAGAATACATGCTTGTTCATGTTTAACTTTTAATCATCTGATCTGACTACGTTACGTTTGTTTTCAATCATACCTTCTTTAAATGTAACAAAAACTGTTACAGCTTAACAGATTGAATGTTGAAAAGAAAATGTTTTTCTATTCAATAACCATATGCTCATATATGGTTTGTATGTGGCAGGGCTTATAATATGCCTTGAATATGTCACTTTTACTTTTATTTGTCGTATATGATATCTTCGCTCCGTAATCTTCTTCATTACTGCTAATAATTCTACTATCGCTGCCACCATTGGATTTGAACTGACAATTGCGTCTGTGTGCTTGCTGATGCGGTATGACAACCTGAACTGATGGTACGTACGTACGAAGTTCTGCGTTGTAACTGATTGACTGATATACGATATCTAAACTACAATTTTCTATATGAAATTCTTTGTAATAAAAAGCAAACAATGTTGTCAAATTCTGATTACCGTCCAAAAACTAAATGAATACAATATAAGTGTTGAATTTACACCATATGCAAATTAAACACAGTTGACTTGTTGTTAAATCTCTGAGTCAATGTTAGCTAAAAAAAATACTGATCTCACAATGATTTCAGTTCTATATAACCGTTCATTATTTATTAATGAATGTATTCAGCCTAACTTCATCGCTTTCTGTCAATTCTTTGTTATTATCCAACACTGGATCCATCCAAAAACTTCGTATCTCTAGATAAGTGATGGTGTACTTTGACACTGAATAAATAATGGAGATATTTAATGATATTACATAGTGGTCACTTTATATAAAACGCTATTACACAGTACAACGTTACCAAATCCCTTTGAAAATGCTAAAATGCATTAAATGATGTGTAGTATCAGTCAGCTATGATTAGTTACTCATAATATACTACACTTTATTTAATGCATAAAATAAGGGAAGTTGACAAGATACAAAGTCAGTCAGTCAGTCAGTTACTTACAACGTAGAACTTCGTACGTAAGTACATCCGTTTATGTTGCGATACCACATTAACACAGAGAAGCAATAGTCTATTCAAATCCCATAGTGATATAGAAAGCAAAAGTATTTTGAAGATATTACTCAAGAAGTATAATTCAGTGAGATAAATTAAGAAAGAGAAAAATAGGGTGTTGACGAATCCAGAAGACTAGGATTTGGGAGAAAACAAAGAGTGGATGCACCTACGCCATTGCAAACGATTTCGAGTCATGTCATTCAAGTTCTCTAAACACCAGCGAATTTCGTCTCGTGGACCCTAACCAGGTAGCCTATATCTACCAACATGACTCAGTCCACTTGTCAGTGACTTCATGGATTTGTGCCATGTTTTGGTTTGGCCGCCCATAGCTTTCTTCCAACCTACTCCTACACCACAAAACATAGCTCGTCGAGGCAGTCGGTGTTTAGGCATACGTAACACATGTCCCAACCACCTCAACTGATGACGTTTCAGTTCTACATCTACTGACCTGCAATCCTTACCTAGTGCTCGTTCCCTAACGACAGCATTGCTTACTCGGTTGTCCCATGATACACGAGCAATGCTTCTAAGACATCTATGATTGAATACTAATAACCTACGAATATCTTCTACTCTTAGCGGCCATGTTTCGCATCCATACAGGAGAACGGAGCGAACTGCTTCACAGAACACTTGACCTTCGGTTAGCAACCGGATGCAAAAGAAATAACTGGAAACAGTAAAAATTAACGTTAACTGAACGATCAACTTAAGTAATATAATTCGTAAAGAACGAATGAATTCAGTTTAACAGTTAAAAATGGAAGATTTAAAGATTATGTTTTAAAGAACGGATTCATCTGCTCAAATGCAACTTAAGCTGTGTCATGTCAATAGAAATCTCTTCATGGATAAGACCAACACTTTATTGGATAGCATCTTCTTTTCATTTGACTAACCCTAGTTATTTTTCAGCCTATGTTTATACTAGCTAAAATTGGAAATAATCAAAATGTTTGTCTTAAATATACCAGTCTCTCAGAATTAGCAGCTTTAACATTGTTCTGACTTCGAGAGAGCTGATCATATAAGACTGAAATAATTTTCTCTTCCCTTTAAATCCTTATGAACCATACTAATATTAGTGTTGTTTGTAATACAAATAAAATACTTAGAAATCACAAAATAATCAAAGTTCACTTAATTTTAATAAGTAGATTATTACCAAAAAAAATAACTTTGTATTGTAAAGTATTTTATTATTTTCATGGTGTAAAAAATACTTCATTTTTACACTTGTGTCTCTTAACAATTTAAATTTTCAATCGAATAAAACAAACAGACAAACAGAAAATCTGCTAAATATTCAATTGTTGTTTCTCACCTACCTACGTCATTATTGTACGTACATATCATATCATATCATTCATGTCCAATACTATTTTTATTTTAAATTTCTTTCTTTCTCTAGCTATATTTAAACAAAATGTAACTTCATATCATTCAATGTATTGAAAGTGGGTATTTTTTTTTATTTGAATCAAAAAAAAATGATCAGTGTTACTAATTGTATACAATCTATGAAAGATTTTCAATTGATATGATTTCGTTTTCTCATTTTTCCTTTTTGAATATGAAAGTAACCAATTTGATTCCGTTTTGATAAAAAAATTGAATGAATTCAGTAGTACAATCATATGATTACATCATTTTATTTCATTTTAATCCAAATTGTAGTATGTTTACAGATGATGATTGATATATTTGAAAAAAAAATAAAGTTTGTTATTGTTTTGACGTGTTTTTTTCATTTTTTTTCCATTTTTTTTGTTGTTGAAAAAAATTTTTATGTTAAAAAATAAGATTTTAATTATGGATTTTCTGTTTGTTTGTTTTTTTTTTGTACATTTCAACTTACAGGGTAATTCAGTCCTCACATGTCCTGAGATCACAGCTCCAACTGCATTTCTACGTTTATTATGCTTATTATTAAAATGTGCTTCACAAGATTGTTGTAATTATTATTTAAAATATTCTTATTCCAATCATACAACATTGACTACACCGAATTCACTTTTACTTAATAAAAACTCTTCAATAATAATACATAAAAAAGATGATGATAGTTATGATTCGACTAAAGAATTTATTCAACAATTAATAACAGATGAAATACAATTGTTTATTATGAATTTTTCCACTTATGGATTAGATATTTCATTAGTACGTTTATTAGCTTCACAACTTTTAACATCATCGCATCTATCCTCCTCCTCCTCCTCAGCATCATCACATGTTTCATTATTAATCTCACCTTTATGTACTACTACTACTACTACTAGTAATATAGGTTGTTCAGAGAATAAATCACTACTGTATTCATCACCATTTTCAGCATCATCACCTACTGTGACATCAAATCTATGCCTTACTTTATTTGAATTAATACCTTTATTATTTCATTGGTCTAATTTATGTAAACCAGATTATTTAATAATAAAATTACGTTTATTAGAATTAGTTACAATTGCTTGTTTAGAAATTGGACAAATTTTAGTACCTGAACCAAATTCCAATCATGATGGTGATGGTGATGTTGATGATCAGGATAATGCAAAACAATCAAGAAATTATTCAAATAAAAAATATTGCCATTCTGGAAAACATGTTAGTTTATTGTTTGATTATTGGTATATATATATATATATATATATATATATATATATATATATATATATATATATATATATATATATATATATATATATATATATATATATATATATATATATATATATATATATATATAGATTTTGACTATGTAAATTGCAAGACTTTTTGCCATCAATGTTTCCCCTTTAAGTTATTGTTCGTTGTGTTATACTGTCAGCTGTAGCAACACCAGTCAGTCAGTCAGTTGCAACGTAGAACTTCGTACGTAAGTACATCAGTTCATGTCGCCATACCACATCAGCACAGAGATATAATTGTCAATTCAAATCCAATAGTAGAAGAGGTAGTAAAGGTATTAGAAGATATTATTCACGAAGTATGATTCAATGAGATAAGTTTCTGTAGCAACATACAAATTACTCATTTGTTTATGTTAATGAAAAAAAGATGAATGTATACGTTCGTTTCACTCATTTGTTGATTACAACATATTCTCTCTCTCTCTCTCTTAGGAATACAAAAGAAAACAAATCTACAATGTAAATTGTTATAATTTCAAATTCAATCTGATTGTTTTATTAAGCATATTTACTAATCGTTTATCTACATGTGTGTGTGTTGTTTTGTATTGTCATGAGCCTCGCACTCTGCGGCATCATGAATACTTTTATCAAAAAATAAAAAATAAAAATCGACACGTCTTTCTGAATTTATTCAACTAACAGTCAAAACAAAAAAAAAATAATAAAGTGTACTTACTTTTTACAATGAATAGTGTGTGGTGGTATGTCAAGAGCATATTTTGTAAACTTTAGTCATATCTGTTTGTTACAACTGAAAGGAATAACAGATTATTGATTACTTTTCTAGCTTTCAGTATTATCTTCAATCATTTGTTTGTTAACTGATAAATAGCTAGTTATTACGCTATGGTAGTTGTATTCAATCAGCTTGATCATCTTATAAAATTAATTGATGGGAGATACACAGTAGACGCTATGAAGTTCTGTTTCATGTCACATAACCTATGCATTTATTTACTGAACATTGATTGATGATCAGAATCATTAGTTTAAAAGAGCATACATAAATTACTCAATAATTCACTAGTTATGAATAAAAACGTTTTGTACAGTTTTTTTTTCTTTTCTTCAATTACTTTCAGTTCAAATAACAACTTTTAGTTATGATATTATATAAATTATGTCATTGTAATTCTTTTTTTTTTTCATGGTTCTCTTTTTATGAGCTATATATATATATTTATTCATTTTTATTATTATTACTCTTCAGTCAGGAGCAAACCATCGTATTCCTAAACGTTATAAATCTCCTTTTAGTAATCCTTCGGCAAAGTCAGATTCTAATCATTGCTCAATTCGTTTATTGCCTGCAACAGATAACGTATGTATACCAATGCTTGCTGCATTAGGAGCTATGAATGCACTATTAAATTATGTTGCTGATGTTGTACGTTTAGCTTTGGCTTCACGAGCTGCAAATTCTCCTGATGCTAAAACTACCGCTGTTGCTGCTGAAGAAGTGAGTTATTTGAAATTGTAGATTTTGATGAATCTTCGACTATTAATTTTATGTTGATATCTTAATGGTTTCAACCTCAATCCACCTACGTTGATTGGGAGGTCCAGCATCTGCCGCCTCGGTGTTGGGTAAGTTCAGTGGGGTTGTTCGATGCGAGAGTTCTTCAAAGTGTTTTATCAACCTGTCGCGCTGTTCTTCAATGTCGATGATTGCTTTACATTCCTCACTGGTGGTTCTGGTTTACGATATTTACCAGCAAGCTTCTTCGTTGTATCATATTTCTTTTTGTTGCAGCTTTTTCTGCGGTCATTACTACATCGTTTACATAGTTACACAGCTCTGGCGCTCCTCTTTACTTGCTTGTTTGCCTATGTGTATTCAGGTTGTACCTTAGCTTTCTTTAATTCTATCCGGCTGATACTGATTGCTGTTTTACCGTTCTTCTTTTCTTGAATCCTATCCAAAGTATATATTGATATCCGTTGCTTGTGATGGTGGTTCCTGTTGCCCAAAAAATCATGACACGCTAGCGTTGTTGGTTGTTTGATCTGTTCCAAGTTATTCTTCATAGTAGTTTCCTCTCAATAGAGTAGATCATGAAAGGCCTGGAACTAGTTGCTGAGAGCTATCTTGAATTCGTTGAAATTGTCAGTATTCCGAACAAATACCGTTCTAAACGTTTGTAATGCTGTTCTCCCTGTTGTCCAGTGCTTTTTTAGATTCACCTTTATCTTGGCCACCAGCAACTGGTGGTCTGAAGTTATTTGAGTTGTTATCTATGTTCTAATGTTTTCCATCGTCCTTCTGATCTTTGTATTGACGCAGATGTGATTGATTTAGTTTTGTGTAGTGTGATCGGGCGAAAACCATGTAGCTTTGTGTATGCGTTTTTGTGGGAATATGGTGCTGGGTATAACACTTAGTTGAAGGCACATAGATTTGAGGATTTCTCAACGTTTTCGTTCCTTTCTCGCAGCCAATATCCGGTGTTATCCATTCCAACCTTGGTGTTCCGGTTATCCACCAGAATGATTAAATTTTTCGCTGAATATCTCTCGATTATTGACTTCAATCCCTCATTGAATAAAGAACCAAACTCCACCATCTTAATTGTATTCGTTAATGGATGCATAGCACTGGATAATATAGATTGTAATGCCCCTATTCTTTGTCTTGAAGGATGCTTTGATGATCCCGGGTCCATGAAATTCTCATGTTATGAGTATTTTTTGATCTTCTTGAGAGTCAGTACAACTCCTTATATATGTGTGTTAATCATTTGCTTCTCCGTAGCCGGAGTACAACAGCATTTTGTCCAGTCTGTGTATAAGGTGTTTCACTTATTCAAAGCACCATAAGGTGTAACCTCATTTCCACAGAAACTTGAATGGTTCTTGTAGTCTACCGTATTGTGCGAGCATTCTATTTATCATATTAATTATGACTCTGTTTGTGAAAAAACGACATTGGCTTCGTGACTTCTGTAGGAACTTGGTTTTCATCATGAGTCGTCATACCTGTTTTAAATGAAGACCTTGCAACACCCAGGGCAACGTGTAAATGGACTATTCTGGTTGGCATTTTTTTGGCAAGTTTGTTTTCTACAGTATGGGGTCGTTAACACCATACACAACCCTTCTGCTTTATCCTGGCTTAGGACTGGCAATAATCCTGTCAATTGTATTGTAGTTTTGGCGTGCAGTATATATATATATATATATATGTATATATATATGATGAAGACTACTGTCACAAGACCGACTCAAACTATCCTTCAAATATCCATTGTTTTTTAAACACTTAAAACAAAAAAAAACTAATCTTACATTTAAAAGTACAGCTCGTTACATCTCATTAATAAAAAACACCAATTCATTTTTCTGTGATCAATCATTTCTTTTTTTTTTTTGATTTGTCATAAATATTCAAATGATTTGAACATATTGACATTGTTAAACTAGAGTTTATTCAAATGGTTATGAAAGTGAACAAAAAATCAATTGTTTGAAGAATGTACATCAATGTATGATAAATTTACCTACTCTCATACTTTAAGTAGTAGTAGTAGTAGTAGTAGTAGTGTAGTGAAGGAGAACACAGGTGAGGGCAACCGAATTGTATTTAACAAAAATTACATAGTTACTCAGTAAAATAGGAAAACCATATCGTAACCGTTAATTTGCAAATCTTCAATCCATCATCAATCCATTGTCTGACGTTTCACTTATTCATGCGTTTCATACAAATTCCATTGTGTTCCCACTCTTCCTTTCTTGATCTTCCCCCATCTTCTGCTGCCAGACATTACGTTTACACTTGCGTCATATACTACTTGTAAGTAGCGCGCACCACAGTAGTAGTAGTAGTAGTAGCCGTAGTTGTATTAGTAGTAGTAGTAGTAGAGGTAACAGTAGTAGTACCAATATATTAATATGTAGATTATTTATATGTTAAAACTAAAATTTTTTTATAGTACAATCGTGCACAAGCTAATTACAAATAATGTAAAATGAATTTTTTTTTAAAAAAAAGTTTCGCCTTCGAAATAATTATTCACTCAAATAAATTCAACGCGAATATATTGAATGATTTGTAAAAAAAACCAGATTGTTTCCACTATGGGGATCTATTGGATCATTTATTATCGATTGATTTGAATTTTTTTACTGTTGCTTATCTCAGTAGATTTTTTATACTCGTTTTTCAGCTACACTTCAACTGTCATACTAACTTACAGGTTTTGAAATAGCGATTCAACAGTGAAAGACTGAGCTCCTTCAAATAGTACAATGATGTAAACATTGTGTGATCGTTTATATCAAGCATGTGAAAAAAAGCAAATTTAATTACTTAATAATAATACCTCACTATTCTTTATTGAATCAAAAAATAACTGTTAGGATGTTTATGTGACGATTTAAGAGTTTGAAAGTGAATTGTAATGTGCAAGCTAATTGAACCATTGAAAACAGGTTAACATAAAACTGATATGTCGAAAATGATATTATGGTCATTGTGAAACTTACAAGAACCACTTTTCTATTCTTATATGGTAATTTAGATGAAATCGGTCGAAATATCTATCCTATTCCTGATTGTTTTCAATGGTTCAATGGTTTATAATAGTTCTTGATTGTACTTAACTTGAAATAAGTGAATATAACATTCAACTTTAAATCAGTGATCAAGTTTCAATATTTTCTTGATTCATAAGCTTACTGTTATAGGATGTTTTAGGTGACATTACAGTTATTATCATATTTTATGGAAACCTAAATCTCAAGTTTATATTTTGCTGCAAATAACAATGTTTAAAGCCCACTGGTTTACTCATTTGAATAACCCATAAACTTAATGATTAACTTATCAGTTAATTTGTATTGAAAAATCACTCTCAAGTTGCTGGTTAGGTTTTCATATACTTCAACCAAATAAGTTCTATATTTTTACACAACTCATTTGATTGGTTACATTTGATGCTGATACTGTATTCTGATTTAATTGGTTTTAAGTTCCTTACAAAGCGCTTTTTTTATGTTACTTTAGTTTATAGTTGATAAATTTCGATTCTTTCATTGATGTGATGTCAAATGATAATTCATTTCATACTTGCTAGTCAGAAAAATCTTTAAACTGTCTCTTATTAGAATAATACTTTGAAAGCTATCGTTCCACATGGAGATAGATCTGATGAGTGCAGAAGTTTTCATAATAGGGTTGATATATGAAGGATATATATTCACATCAGGGAATTATGGGAGCGATTATTAGTTTCATATCTTTTTAGAATGCAGGGTGTCATACTGATCTAACTGGTCTTCAAAACACTTGATGGCGTTATACATTCAGATCTGAAACTTTTCTCTTCAACAGTACCTTATGCATACTACTTATAAGCCATGTTGAAAGTAGTACACACCACAGTATGTAATTAGCTGTATTTTAATATATTTAAAACAACCAGTAATAAATAACTTGTTTTTATTGAAAATAATACTTAGTTTTTCTTTTCACTTAGATTTTGATTGCTGCTAGACCACATCCAAAATTGGCTGGTTTACTTGCTCGTTTAATAGGTTTATGGCGACCACATCAATTGCCTACAATTCAACCAAATGTAAACGATTCTGATTTACATAATTGGACCCATTTAATATCAACATCTATTCAAGAACAGAATTATGAAGATGAAATTTGTTTTCGTTTATGTGAAGCTTCTATTACTGCGCTTACTAATTATGCTTCATTATATGGTGGTGAATATTCACGTAGTGCATTAATACCTTCATCAACTGATCGTTTATCATTAGCTTTATTAAGATTAGCTGAAGAAGATCAACTTCTTCAAATCAAATATCATATATCAAAAGAAACAATGAAAAATTCTTATGATTCATTTAATTCTAAACGAAGTACCTATTGCAGACGACGTATGCGTCTTCTACTTCGAATAATAAGACGTTTAGTATTTTCCGATCCTGTTTGTCGTTCTCGACTTGATTCTGCTATGAATTCAATGAAATGTAATACTAATTTATTCACTACATTAAAATATCTATTAGTTATAACACAACGTTCAGCAGATGCTTCAACAAGTAAATTATTGAAAGAAATTATTGATCTTTTATCGCCTAAAGTACATTCGAATCATGATAGAAATGCTTTAAGTACTGATAGAGGTTATCATAGTCGTTCTAAAACTGTACAACCGGAATCTTCATCAAATAGAATTGTGCCAAAAGCTGTTGCTTAATTAAAAGGTTAGTTTCTCTACCCATATTGTTTTAATATTTTCAAGTTGAAGTTATTCAACAAAAAACCCCAAAAACCTAAGTGATGTAAATATTGAAGCTTACTATCAGAATGTAGTGCATGGATTTTAGAAAGAGTATGAGATTGTGGAGATTATTGAGCTTCACTGAAATCATGAACCGGTCAATGTTAGACCACTATTGAAAACTTGGATGCTCTGGACGGCCGTAGATGATCTAGAGGTTAGGCCATTGTGCGCAAGACCGCGAGTTGTGGGTTCGATTCCCACATGCAGGAGTCATGGATGTGCAAATCCAAAACCTTGATTGATAGGATTCAGTTGGAAATCATAAATAAACAAATATAATATTGTCATTAGTGTGAATTGCTCCATTGTTCCATACGCAATCACTAATAAATAGCTGTCACAGCTGACTGGTGTTAACATTTCCAATCGGGACACAGAATGACGAATATTTGAATCCCATACATGCTATCGACGTCTACGAATATCATTTAGCCTTCTCATCAACTGCTTCCCACTACCATAATATGCATACATTTAATTATTATTTTGAATAAAAAGTAAGATTATTGTTTTAACTAGTATGTATTAAACGTTTTGTTGTAGAATATTCAATTGTGTAAAGTAATATTGATTAAACCAGTAGTCTAACACATAGACAAATATTATATATTTACACTCAAATATATATAATTTCTCCAGTCAGTATTTTGTTTATTTCTACGAGTTTTTGTAATATCGTGTAAATTTTCGGAAGGTGCAATTTCCTGTTTCTGAGATGACGGATAAGATTTGTAGCTGAGACAGATGATGAACTCAATTGAGTTATGTTCTCTAAGCTGACTGGTTCAAAACAAGGCTTTCATCATTCGTTTGGAAATCAGCAGGACAAATTTTAGATGGAAGTGATTGTTCTGTTGATCAAAGCATGAAGCTCCACTGGAGATTCGTGTAAAACAATTTAGTAGTCGATTAGCGTCTGTTAAATTGTTCAGTGTGACTTAACCATAAGTCGCTTGAGAAAATTCAAAATAAACCTCATTTTTCGTTAGGATTATTTATTTAATCACGTAAACTTGGAACAATTTATGATGAGCTGTGTGATCATTAAACATTATTTAGAGATTCGACTTATAAAGGATCAATTTCATATTATTAGTGAATAATTCGGACATTTGAATCAATTTTTCATTACAATTAACATTAGTGGATGTTTCTATTTGATAGTAAAATCGCTTCACCAGGAAATCATTGTAAATCCTAAACGTTTTTAGAGTAAATCCTATATATTATATTATATTTTCACCTAAGTACTCTAGCTCCAAGTGTTACATTGAGGAATGAACACTGTGTTGAGATTACTCTGCAAAATTGTTGATTTGGATTAAGATAAGTAAATTGAACAGTGAAAACGTAATATCTCATTGTAAAAAAAAAGCCACATAAAATGAACTTTTACATAAGTCGATAAAATTTCTTGAATTATTTGCGGCATAGCAGTAGTACATCACCCGATTTCTGGGTAGTTTCTGAAGATTACTTTTATTTATTTACATTGCTGTTACTGTTGAAGGTAGTTTTACAAAAACAAATTGGCTATTGAATTTTTCAAATATTTCATTACTAAGGTTAATTAGCGGAAATATACCAACTCATATAGCTGTGATCTTTGTTTTGTGAGTTTACGATTGAATAGAGATCAGTTGCAAACATGAAATGAAATGAATTGGCCATAGGAAAATTCAGACGCCTTTTACATATGTATAAGATGTTTGTTCTCACCATGAACCTATTCTGATTGTACTTAATGTCAAGAAAAGCGTGTCTCACTCTTCGTTATTCTTGCTTTCTTTTACCTTCCATTTGTCTAGCAGACTATTCATTTTTCAAATACAAATGTCCTTAACATATATATGCGCGATCAGGTTGATCAAAAATGCGTTGCATTAATTCATCACCAATTTATAAGGATCACTTTCTTCAAACAAAACCATACTACTTATTATACGTGAGTAGCAAAGTACTCTGCTCGTTATTATTAAAAAATGAAGTTACTGGAGCAAGATAAACACCTGTTGTTGCTCCAGATAATAAGTTGAGTAACTCATCACTCGGTCAAAAACTACATAAGCTTTGCACTCATAATTAATCTAGAATTTTTGATTATTCTAGAAGTACGTCATTTGCTATACCTTAAACTTTACAGAAATATTTCACGCTTCACTATAATTATCCTTGTCTTTAATTCCCTATAGATCCTGTTACTACATTTTGATCAAATTGAAATACACGTGGATTAGCCCGCATTTTCCCTAATGCTTCCCTGGTATGTATCAATGAATTTCGACGAAACTAACGAATCCTTCCAATTGTATAAGAAATGCTGTTTTATTGTCCGCTGACTTTTCTTTACACAATGTTTCTTCATTACTTTTGTTTTCCACTTCCTCTTGTTTTTTTATCCCCAAGAAAATTCCTTTGTGGAAAGCAAAATGCAGTAAAACGACTAACTTTTGTATATACATATGAATTGTTTTTGCATAAAGAACCGTTATTGGAGCTGAAAGCAATCAGAGACATGTGACAAGACTGATCATTTGAATTTATTGAAATTTGTAACGTTTTTAAATCAACCATTTTTTTTTATATTTATGTATGTATATTGTAAAAAGTACACACACACCCTGGAACTATTTGCTTTAATGGTTTTTCATTATTTTAGATTTTTCTTATTTGTTGCTTTTTTTATATATAAATATCTACACAAGTGAAAAATATACATGTACTACTACTTTGCAGTGCATAAATAAAATAAATTAATTGAACTGAGTTTTCGTAATGGTGGAGAAGACTTGTAGCTCAGGTGGATGATTGTGGTGGTGTTTCGTTCTCTGAGCTGGTTGTTTTGGTTGTGGAGCTTTCATTGTTCTTCTGAACAATGAAAGCTCCACAACCAAAACAACCAGCTCAGAGAACGAAACACCACCACAATGAGTTTTCGTATTTTTGTTCGTAAAAGCTGTTTAATTCAATCGTGCACACATTTGTTGATATTCTCCCTATGAATATGTGATATCAGTTTGAGAATAATTTCCGTGTATGAAGAAACATTCGTTTGTAATTAAACAGTAGTTAATTTAGGGATTTTCTTTCTGACTAACGCCCTCTAATCAGCAATATGTTCCTTGGTTTGCTTTGCCTTCAGGATTCCAGCTTAAGGCTTGCCTGGTGACGCAGTTCGGTGATTCTTACAATATTTCTTTTTTACATCCAGCGTGATTTCTTTCCCAGCTGGAAGTGCTTGGTATAACATTGGGAAAATTCTGCCGCCGCCGTCGACGTTTCTTATTAACATTATTCATATTTAGATATAATTATAAATATTTTTCTCACTTATGAATGTAAAGCCTATACCGTCTAGCAATCGCTGTTTATTAACAATTCCCCTTGTTGCTTTTGCTTTACAGCAAATTTACGCTCTAATCTAACCAACTTTATGTACGTATATGGCTGTTTGTAACAACAGGGAAACAATAAACAACGAATTTCCTATATCCCACATAACATTATTAGAAATGTTTATACGATAAACAGAAATCTAGTCGAAATCGTGAGATAACTTTTGATTTGAAAGTATATCACTATTCAACCATTTCTTATTAGTGTAAGAATTCAGAAATGCATAGTTTAATCACCGTAATGATTTATTTGGTACATTAAATAAGGAAACTATGTGTATGTTTTGGTAAACGGTAAAAATCTACTAGTAACCTGATGTTCTGGGTTAAAATACTGACTGACTAATTCACTAAAAAAATGTATATTTCATTTGTTAAAAAGTAGCTCGAAAGCATGTTATAAAATTGATTTTTTTTAAATTTATTTATTTTACAATTAATTTAATCGTACATAATTAGATTGTCACGCTTTGAAAATGATAAGTTTTTAACAATAAAAGGTATTAAAAAGCATTTTACGTAATTTATCAAGGAAAACATAAGAAAAAAAAGGAAATAAAGAGCTATACATATTTCATTTACTGAAATAATTGAAATTTAAAGTTTTTTAAATTTTAGCCTAAATTTGCCAGCAGTAGACCTCTGTAAGAAAAGATACAAAGAAACCAACATATAACAACAAATAACATGAACTATTTACAATCAACTTGATAAGATAATAAAGAGGTACATGTCCGCCCGGAGCCCTTTTAAGGTTATTGCCAGTCATGAGAGCGGATAAAGGGGGGGTTAGGATATTCATCCAATATCCTAAGAGAATTGTAGGTAGATTCCTATTGGTCAATTTCTACTGGTCAAATTTATGATCGTCCTAGATATCAGTGTCACGTGCTCCAATGTTGTTTCTTATTGGTCGTCTTAACTACCAATGTCACAGACTTCGATGATGTTTTTTATTCAACCTAAATGTATGAGTACGCAATACGGGTTCCACTTCATATGAAGTCTTCTTATTTTTACTCAATATGGGTGTTAATGGGACGTAGATGGAATAAAGCATGACTGCGTTAGCTGCGCGCTGATTGGTTAAATCTAATCCAGCCGATCACGTGAACTACAATCCAGAAGCTTCTCATGTAAATACTATAAAGAAACTAACGTTGTACCAACCAAATCACTCATGATGGAGATGCCTTGGAGGACGTTGACACCTTCACATATCTTGGCAGCATCATCGACAATTAAGGTGGATCCGATGCAGATGTGAGGGCGCTGATTGGCAAAACAAGGGCTGCATTTCTACAGTTGAAAAAAATCTGGAGCTTCAAACAACTTTCAACCAAAACCAAAATCAGGATATTCAATACAAATGTCAAGACAGTTCTACTGTATGGAGCGGAAACATGGAGAACTACGAAAGCCATCATCCAGAAGATACAAGTGTTTATTAACAGTTGTCTACGCAAAATACTTCGTATTCGTTGGCCAGACACCATCAGCAACAACGTACTGTGGGAGAGAACAAACCAGATTCCAGTGGAGGAGGAAATCAGGAAGAAGCGGTGTAAGTGGATAGGACACACACTACGAAAAGCACCGAACTGCATCCCAAGACAAGCCCTCACATGGAACCCTCATGGCAAAAGGAAAAGAGGAAGGCCAAGGAACACATTACGCCGAGAAATAGAGAAAGATATGAGAGGAATGAACAAACATTGGACAGAACTGGAGAAAGAAGCCCAGGACAGAGTTGGTTGGAGAAAACTGGTGGGCGGCCTATGCTCCATTGGGGGTAACAGGCGTAAGTAAGTAAGTAAGTATTTGGAATATAATCTTTTCCTGTTCCACCGTGTTTTTGATTCTTTGGAACTTGTCCAGTGTATTGTGGTCAGAGAATACTAAGCAATAGGAATTAGCTGGGAATTATTTAAGTAAGCATTACAACAATGGGGTTTTGGATAATCGGATCTGAGTAGCATGTCGTGTCGCCGGATCCTCGCCCTCATTTTCCGATTACGTAAACTCGTAATAGTTCAAGCATATCAAAATGACGTGTCTACGTGCAGGCGTAACAAGGGGTTAGGTATAGGGTTAGTGAGCGACCATATCCTGTAGAAAATCATTTTGCTAAAATAAAATAAGACGCTTACATGCATAGTTTTAAAGTAATATTACCAGTGTTTGAATTGATAATTTTAAATAGGCTGGACATTGAGTAGATTTTGTTAATAATAAAAGTGATCATGTTTTTATAAATATCCCTGACATTTTACGACCTAGTACAAGGTAGTTTCTTTATAGAGTAAATAAATTATAACATTACATACACTGTAAGTAATGGAATGACACCCTCTGTTAATAAATTTCGAAAAAAAGAAATATAGTAAAACATTTAATTATTACACAGTCGATAATATAGCGATCAATCTAAACTTTAATATTCGGCATGACATAGAAGCTATCAAATACAATATGACTGACACTAAGAAAAGCTGTGACATATTTTTGCTTTATAACTCAGTTCTTATGAATGAAAGATTAAAAATTCTATGAATTACACTACACGATAGCAAAAAAGTGTGCTTACTTTAGGATGAGGGCTTCCTTCTTGACAAATAACATAACGCTGCTGAAGAGGAGCAATTCGTTCAACAGCTTCAGATTCACCATTACTTTCATGATCTCGAATTTGCACGAATTTTATAACTATATGGGGGTAGGTAAACAAATTACATTTTTTTAACGTTTAAAATCATACTGGAGATTTGTAGATCAGGTGGATACTTTCCTAGTAGTCATCATCAATTAGCTAAATTATTATTTTGGGGCAGAGTTTTGGAGGTTTGTGTTTTTACACATTTGAAATCATCAATCAATCATTGTTAGACCACCATTAGAAACCTGGAAGCACTGGACGGCCGTTTCGTCCTGGTATCGGACTCATCAGCAGTGCGCATCCACGACTCCTACTCCTCGCAGGATTCGAACCCGGGACCTTCAGTATTGTGCGCGAACGCCTAACCATTGGACCACTGGGCCGGCATCCAACGGTGTTAATGTCTAACTCTGATTGATGTGTAAATTATTATTGAAAAATGAACACGACTTTATCAAGTTGATCTTACTTGTGATGTACAATATATAAAACTTATTATTATTTACTTATATAAATAAATTGACTGTTAATGCCTGAAAGCGAATGGAATTCAGCTACTAAATAAATAATCATAAGATAACTATTTGTATGAGGTTGTGGAGACTGATGAATGTTATTGAGATAAGAAAACGAAACGAAACGAAACGAAATCATCATTACCTTTCGATGTACGTAACTTAGCTATCTCTTCATCAGATTCACATTTACTCTTCAAGCTACCACCAACGTGAATGGTAGGTCCATCCTCAGTTTCATCGGTGAATTTAAACTGTTTTTTTATTGAAAAATTTTTCAAAAAAAAAGAAAGCAACAAGAATTTAGATAACAAATTCAATAACTACATTTTAGGTAACGATACAAAACAACACACGCATTTCTGCATATAGTTGTATTTATAATTAATTTTACGTGTTACTTGACTTTACTGTATGTTGTCACATATTTATTAGTTTTTTTTGACAGACGATTCGGTAGATGAATTTACCAATCTATTGTACAGTTAGAAATCGTATAGCATAAGAAAACAGAATAATTTAGATTTAATATGATAGTGTGGTGCGAGCTACTTATAAGTAGTATATGACGTGAGTGTCAACGTAATGTCTGGCAGCAGAAGATAGGGGAAGATCAAGAAAGGAAGAGTTAGAACACAATGGAATTTGTATGAAACGCATGAATAGTGATAATGGATTGATATTTTGCAACAGGAACAATCCAGTTCGATATGATGAACTGATATTTTGCAAATTAACGATTTACGATATAGTTTTCCGATTTTACTGAGTAACTCTGTAATTTTCGTTAAATCAATCCGGTTGTCCCACCTGTGTTCTCGTTCACTACAATAGTATATATAACTTATGCATGACTTTGACTCATCATTGGACTGTAGACAGTTAGAACTAAGCATATATATTCGAAGTGTATTTCTGATGATAACCGCGATCGATAGCAAAAGGCGTTTGGTGAACTGGTTGAAATTCGGTCACAGTGGTTTAGATGTATTCATTATTTTCCACTAACGCTTCAAAACTTATGTTTTATCGGACATCTTAATCACCCTTTTTACAAATCATTGTTTTCAATGTTAAATTAGTATCTTTTACAAGTAATATAGTTAAGAACTAATCATTTTATAACGCCTTAACAAAGTCATAATAGTAACAGGTTGGATAACTTATGTAACCAGTAAATATTAATAATAATATTATGAACAGTACTAATAATTAATAATGGAAAGCGTTAGAAAAATACATCTATTTACCTGGTCAAAATCAGCACTGCAAACATGGGTCATCACTACTGAAGGGCTAGTAGAAACTTTACAACCAATATTAATTTTTACATCTTTTTCTAAAGGTGACTGAGATGAAATCTTTGAAATTTTATACACATGAAAAGCAAATAAAAATCTTTCAGTGTTTTAACAAATGATTATATTATAAAAAAAAACACTGAAAATAACGATAAGTTTGGTTAAATTAACACTTTACTTTGAATGCGCCAGGTTATTTTTGTGAAAAATTTTTGTGAATCTGAAAAAAATTGTTTGTAAGGTTTCAAATTAGTGCAACATATTATTTCCAACTATTTCTTTTCAAGAAGTTGTGTACGTCTACGTTATATGGTACATGATTCGGTTGTATTCGTCCCGTGATTATTAACAGGCTTTCAGAGGTGTTAACTAGTTTAATCAGGGTTTAATGCATGTGAAGAACTTTTAACTTAATTGAGCAGTGTATGTAAAATATCACAACTCAGTCAATTGGAAGATATGGGTAAATATTAAGGATGATAATGATAAAGTTTCACCGGTTTTTAAAGTTTTGATCATTCAGTTTTATCTTGTTGTTAATTTCGTTAATTTTGTTTCGATTCACATCGTTTTTGTTGTTGTTGTTGTTGTGCTATTGCGGATTAGTTTTGCTTGGATAGTTTTTTTTTCTATCACAAAGATATTGTTTGTGTAGAAGCATTTTTGGAAGTATAATCCTATTGGTCGATTTCTATTGGTCAAAATTATGATCGTTTTAACTGTCAAAGTCAAATACTTCAATGTTGTCTCTGATTGGTCATCCGGACTGTCAATGTCATTTCAAATGTTCTTTCCTATTGGTCGTCCTAAACTGTCAATGCCACAGACTTCGATGCTCTTTCCTATTCGACCTAAATGTATAAATACGCACTCTCTGTAAGACTTCATGATTTCGATTCCGTTTCTTCCTGCCTACCTCTCTTTTGTACTCGACCCAATAAACAACTCTATCCCATGGTGTTGCGTTCTGATAAATAGGAGATTTGGAAATAGTATTTTGGGTCGTATTTGGATATTGAATTTGGACGCAGCTAGGACTGAATCGCTATACGTAGCTGCATTATAACAGAAGTAAGTCAATTCATGTAATCAGTTATATTGGATGTATGAAAAAATAAATACGATCAGCACTTACACATCTTTTTGTTCGTTTATTGGCGGACATGGATGTTCGTTTAGAGGACAAGCCTGACATTGCTTTTGTTATGGTACTTGGCGTCCTCCCAAGATTTTTGCCAGAATTTCCCAAATTACCCTGATGAGTAGGGGCTGAACTTACGAATGAGCGACTTCTACGAAGTGTTTTCGAAACAGGTTTGCGAATAGATGGCTTGGTTTCACTAGAAGTAACTGGGGAACCGGAAACTTGGGGACTTGGATTAACATCTGATTTGATATCTGAAGGTTTGATGCAACCTGTTTTATCAGATGGTATACCAATAGAACGACGAAGCTGACGTGGAGCATTCACATCAATTGTCTCAGCTCCTGGGACTGAGGAAACCTCCTTCGTACAAAATGAACACTGCCTATAAAAAGGTTATACATAATGATACATAGAGAATTATATATATATATATATATATATATATATATATATATATATATATATATATATGCCTAACAATAAAGCAGTGAAAATAGAAATACATTACATCCTATTCATTAGGAGGTGAATAATCTAATAACTTGGTATGCTATCAAGCCAGTAGACTGATTAAATGGGATAATAAGGAAAATACTTTGTTAAATGAAATTTCATGATAAAAAACATAAGTCGGTTAACATAAATCTAGTGGCAAGAACGGAGTAATTGCTTAGACAAATGACTACTGACCACAACGACAGTTTTGAATAGTGCCTCACCTATTCTACTTTACAGAGCCAAATAATGTGTCTCTGTTGCTTGAAAGATTATGCCTTAAAGCCTATTTGAAGAAACTGCATATAGCTGATTAGAATTAAACATGAAGAATAGATTGACTGGCTACGGAAATAATGGCAACGATGATAAACGTGAAGAAACAAACAGTGTAGGACAAATAGATCATGATTTACCGTATTTATGGACGACAGTAAGCCATACAGTCTAAAAAGTATTACAAAAACAAATAAGACTTACCAACCGTAAAGTTTACTACGCTTTGGCATACGTAGTAATGGAGGATCAAGACACGCCAAATGAAATGCCTTTCCACAAGTATCACAACTTGTAATTAAATGCTGATCTTGAAGTCCATGACATATCATACACCTATGAAAATAATATATTAACAATCAATGCATGAGCTGATATATCGTAATAAACAGCAGTTAGTTGCATATAACGCTTATCTGTTTCAAAAGGATTTTGAGGAAAATTCGCTATTTAATTAAAATCACAAGAATGTTAACCATTTTACAATGCTCTGAAAATAGAAAGTTAGTTAACTTGAATCTGTAGTCACTAATGTACTATTGAATTATTAGTAGGGATAAAAACGAGACATTAGTAAATTGTTGGTCAAGATAAGCGATGTAATAACAATGAGATAAATTAAGTGTTACTGAAAAAGCAACACAATAAATTGACTGTATAAACATTATAGAAAACTATTTATCCTGTATAGAACTATCCAAATTCACACCATTGCATAATCGGAATACATTATTACTATACTGTAACATGTAAGCTACAAAGAGCACAAACTAGAAAATATATATGAAGCCTCAGTTCCCGTTACAAATAGAAAATCCTCTATGAAAACAAAATACTAGGATGGAATACAGGAATAAACGTCAGTGAATAAGGGACAAAAAACTACATATACCAAATGAATGCTCCATAGGAAGTTCGATTGTAAAATTTAAAGCGTATAGGTATTAGATAAGATATGTGATAATCAGGATTCCAACCAAAGTGATCTAAATATCACCCAGATTGATACAACTTCCTAATACTTCATATTATCTATCTTTTTTATGTAATAGACGAAACTTGGTCTGAATAGCAAAAGTTCACAGAAATATTTTACGGAACTAACAAATTCCTAAAAAATTCAAAGAACAAGAGATTTACAAACTTACTCTAATATTACATTTTCTGACTCGAATGTGAGATTACTTGAAGACTTTTCAGGGTGTGAAGCATTTGGACTCTTTACTGACTTAACATTTTGACCAACTGCTTCGGATTTCGAAACTTTTCGCAATTTAGATGGGGGAGATGAACGATTGCTTCTACGCTTTGAAGCGGCAATAACTGCCGAAGATCCAAATCTACTGGTCTTACTGGAGTCTACTGGATTAGATGACGAGTTCAGGTCAAAACTAGCCGTTTCTGGAAGGCGGCGAGGTTCCGCTAGGATAGTCTCTAATTCCGATGAACATTTCAGTTCCTATTGATATAAATAAAAATCGGGTAGATTCATAAAATTCGAAAAGAGCTTGTAAGTTAATTGACCATTAAGAGGTTGTAATACAAAACATTCAACACATTTAATCATCCAGAAGTCAGCATAGAAAACCGTGTATGACATTTTACGAACATGATATCAAGGGTTTACACTACTTCCATTCTTTAAACACTCATTCAATCGATGGTACCTAAACTTCTACATATTATTGAGTTTCGACTCGATAATTATTGAGATATTCATCCAATATGCTAAGAGAATTATTGGTCAATTCCTATTGGTTAATTCCTACTGGTTAACAGGAACAACTTCATCTAACGACGTTGTGTTCTGATATATAGGAGATTGGGAAGAGTATTTGGGTCGTATTGGAATATTTGAATTCGGACGTCGGTAGGATTTGAATAGCTACGTAGCAGCATTATAACATTAATATACTCAGAAGAATATAAGCTGGTATATATCGCTAGATACAACTAATAATCACCATAAAACCGTCTACGATTATCAATTTTCAAAAACTAAGTGTCACTACATATTATCGAACAAAAATAGTTTAGGTAACATGGAAAATATTAAATTTGTTAAATGAAACAAGTTATTGTAACTGATGTGCAAATAATAATAGTTTAAAAAGCTCCCACACCAAATACTAACCTACTTAGTAAATATTGACGAGTATTAATTGGAATTCTATTATAAATAACTCATTTACCCGTTACCTAATTTAAGACTGGCGATACTATTCGATGGCGCAAAACGATAGGTAGAGCCAAGTTCGAAGCTATGGATTAGTGACTGAAGATCAAACGCCTTAACCATGGAGCCCCAGTGCATAACTTCACACACTTACTAGGACCGAAAGACAAGGTATAAAAATGTATCGTTTGCAATAAATCAGAATTGATAAAACTTAGAAAGATCAGAAGTATAAACTAACCGGAATTAAACTGCGTAGAGAGTTTAAGATATGGACAAATTTCATACGTAAATTCCCACGGCTAGTGTTTAATTTTTCCAACTCCGTTGATACCTGTAAACAAAAATGCACATAACTATGACACACTTCAATTAGGTGTTTACTAAGTTGTGAAAAACTACTGCAATGTGATACTTATCTTACCGAATTGTAACTATGTGAAGCACTAGCATCTGATATTTGTAGTTCACGTTGCGTATTTTGTAAAGTTGCGATGTGTTTTGAAACTTCGTTAATTTTTCTTTCACGTTCTAGATAGAAAAAAAATGACATTACGACAAAAAAAGTCAAAGGAAATAATCAGACCATAAAACTGTTATGTGTGTATATACAATCGAAATTGCTGGTATAAAGAACTCACCTAAGAAATACGATACAAAATCTGGAGTGAAAACAGGATAACTAGGCGTTGAACCTTTTGATGAATCCGCGTTAGACATAGGATTTGATAGTTCAATAGGTAAATTGAGAGCTTTGGCTTTCAATACAAACATTCTCATTGCAACAGGGGAGGTTTCCAAAAACATTGGTGTTTTCACAAGTGGCACTAGAAATATAATTAAATAGCTTAAATAACTTACATATATCAAATATGAAAGAGGTGATCTTGAAATAAAACAGAAAGTCAGTATATGTACATCCAAACTTCAAGCTACCGTTGACAGGTTATAATTGTATTTCAACTAAAAACATCTGAATGGAGTGAGGCTAAGACTAATCTGAGAACTCAACCTCTAAGTAATGGATTCTGAATCCTAACAGTGTGAGTCCCGTGTTCTAAATCAATAAGCGAATTTCCTGATAAGTCAGCCCTTAAAAAGTAGAACGATGAGGGCGTTATCTCTAAAAAGATGTCTGAATCCGGGTTAGGTTTTATTTTAATGCTACAAGTGTGGTGTAAATCCTGGTACATAAAATCAATAATTTAATTACGTAATTAGTCGTATAGTGTATATTTATGGACTGTAACTGATCACTGTAAAGATCCCTGATGTATCTCGAGACTTGATTATGATTTTCAAAATTTAACGTGTATACCGCAAAATATTGCCGAAATTTAGACAGACTAGAATTCGTCAGAAATCTAGGTCCCAAATTTACTAAATTGTTAGTGAATTTATAACTTCTTTATTTGTGCTTATATCCTGAAGGTCAGCTTTATTTGTAAACAGACATTTTTTAAGAAATTTGGCTTATATTCTATTTTGAGCTGTGCCTATAGTAAGATAAGTTACGGTAGATATTAACTTTCTCAAATTTACCCAAAATCCAAAAGATTAGGAATTTTCTGACAAATACGAATAAGAAAATTGGTCATTAGCAATTCAGTCGATTTCGCCAGTAAAGGTTATGATTAACCAGTCTTCATATATAAAGTGTAACTAAACGACGCAAATGGGAAGGTGAGTCTTTAGGATAACCATTCAATAAAAGCTAAGTGAAATTCAAAGAGTAGCTACTGAACATTTTATCGACGATATGTCAAACTAGTGACAAGCTTACAATAGCTTATTTTTAATTAGCATGTTGAGAGTTCGGGATCTGTCTTAACTGCATTTGGAAAAAAGAAACTGGGTATCAATTAACTATGAAAAGTAACAGCTGGTTTATAAACATACCATACGGTTTTCCACGATGCCGCAAAAGGTCTCTGTACAGTTCACGGTAATGCTCGAGTTTACGTTGAATACGAGGGTCTATTGTAGATGAATTTCTCAAACAAGAAATATTTAACTTATTTTCATCTAGACAACTCAAAGCCAGCTGTCTGTTTGAGCGCCACTTCTTTAACCTGAGCATTGCTGTTAAGAAATTACGTCGACGGTGTCGGGCGACTGTCTTATCAGTATGCTGACGACAGTGTGCGAAAAATGGATCCGCTGAACTCTAAAAGGAAGAGAAAATAAAACTCTAATAATCTCAGAAACATTTTATAGGTAACATAAAACATAAGATTAATATTTTCAATTATAAATGCAAACAACAACTAACCGATTGCCTCGTTTTTTTTATGAATGGAAAAATAACTTCCGAAATAGTAACCGATAACTTCTAATACTTTTACTACCTCTACTACTATGGGATTTGGATGGACAATTATATCTTTGTGCTAATGTGATATGGCATTTTGAACTGATGTACTGACGTGAAAAGTTCTACGTTGCTGTTGATGATGAGATGCTCTAAAAACAACAAAGGCTTCAGGCTTCGTGCCTAACTACTTAGTTACAAAAGAATGATGAAGCGTGACTGGTAAAAAAAGTGGTTGTAGGATTGAGGCAGTAGTTTTGAGTGACGTAGTTTAAAAGAAATACATTCATAACACTGGTACAATAGGGAGACAAAATGTACTGCATAAATAAAATAATACATTGTGAAAGGAAGAGAAAAACATACTCATTTTAGTGTATTAGTTCAAAATCTTTCTGTAAATTAAAATAGCCTACACTAACTTACAGACTAAAGATCTAACTGTATGGTGTTTGCTACTTAAATCTAGTTATTCAGCACACATGGAAGTTTTGAAGCATACGGTTAAGTGGATCGAAAATTCCGTATGTTAGGACCAATTCTTAAAATGACCCAATGCGCAATGACAGAAATATTGATTACTTACCTCATCAACAGTGGGCTCCGACAACAAACCATGCTTTTGAGCACTGTAAGCCAAGTAAGAGTAAACAAGCTAGCTTACCAAGTTACATGGAAAAAAGTGCGGCACAGACCAGCATCACAGGATATGCAAACACCAGTCCAAGCAAAAAAGCGATCTTCACACAGGGAACACTCATGTAATGACCACTGCCTTTGTGGCAACTCGGTAAGAGTTACCTAAAAATAACTGGTTAGCCAATAGTACTTACATCCATTAAGTTATCCGGGTCGTTAAATGCAACTCCTGGTGTGTATAATGCACACAGTAAGTGAACCCAGCGATTGTTATCCGTTCTTTTAAATACACCATCCAACACCGGACATAACTCACAAACCTGAGATGTATAAGGTAATATGACTTAACTAACCGGGGATGTGAGACCCGCAAGGCATGGTTCACAGAACCAGGCATCTGTACTTGAAGAGCTTGCACCACTGGACAAAAATATTGAGTCGATCAACTTATAACAATCTGCTTGAAGCATTATAATAAACCTGACTCTACCCTCATGCACAACAATACCACATCCATCGCATTCAATCAGCTCATCGCTAGGATCAATGCTATCTCCTAAACACAGCATACAAATCATTATATCGATGTCTTTTAATTTTGCGTTTTCAGTAGTAGTCAAATTTTGACCACCATCTGGCACTGAAATACGGAAGGTTATTTTAAAAAATGGTCCTATCGGACAGGTTACCTGCACAAAAGGACTCTACTGCACATGAATCTTTTACATTTTCCACGACGTTAGGTGAATTTATTGCAAATTTGGTCGGCGGACGCTGACTTGCACCAGAAGCTTCAGAAACATGGCTGGATGAATTAACTGAAGAATCCTCTGAACTAGAACCTTCTTCGTCAGTACAACCCGAATGGCTCTCCTCTAAAACAACTTAGTCAGGAACCAGACAAACGGACCATCATCATCATCATCTTCGTCCCTTTCTTCACAAACGTACTCGCTATCGCTGTCATCGTCTAGATCATCAAGCAAAGCGAGATGGTCTGTATTAACGGGTTTTATCTGCCTCTTTGACGGATCACGGCGAGCTGAAGAGTATCAAATTACACAAACAGGTGCTTAAATACCTATTGCTGTGAATAAGGTATCCGATGTCATTACTGGACTTAAGTGAAAGGTTAATTTCTATTCCAGTAGTCTTTATGTTTTTCGAAAGTAATTAAGCTTTATGCAAGGGAAAACAGCTGTTAGAAGGAAAGGTCAAAAAGACAAGTCTAGATCAAATCAGCCTGCATTTAGCCTTCACGACCTTGAGCGGCCTTGCACAAGGCGGGCATTCTGTATCGAAAGTATCAGTTGAGGCCGAAATACATGCAAAATTACAATATCTGTTTAAGTTCCTGACTGAAAGAAGACCTATGACGAAAATGTTTGTACTCTTAAAGGTTCAAAGGGCGAAGATCTTTCCAAACTGGAGACAAGTGAGATATGTAATACCAACTTCTCTGCCGAGGTACCTACAAAATCACGGTACTACTCAAATCAAGGGCTAACTGATGACCTATTGGAATACCTTACTTAATCCTGGCTTAGCACCAAGAAAACTAAAATCTCTGCCCGTTGGAAAGTCACCGAAATTGTGGCGATATTCTCAATATAATCATGAACCAGTGTGCAGGGGCCATCAGTTTTCATGTATGTGACCTGTTCACGCGTTCACTGGCATCATACCAACATCTAGCTGAATGGAAACAAGCTACTCTCTCTTCAGTTTTTGAAGGAGGAGATAAAAAAATCTATCCTACTACAAACCAGTCTCAGTATTACCAGCACTGACGGAGGTGATAGAATGACTAGCGAATGAACGAATGAGGGAGTACATTTTCAAGAAAAACATCCTCTAGGAAGCCACTGAAGGCAAGTGATGCACATTCAATCTTCTCATAGTATGGGAGAGCTAGACAGCCTGAACGCGAGTTTACGAAATCCTTCGGTAAAGTATCTCACGTACTTCTAATCTTGAAGGTTGTGAAGATGGGCTTCATTGATCCACTTCAAGACAGGAATTGACTGTAAAAGAATCAAAAGGTTTATACTACCCGGTGAAAAAGATATTGGATTTCACCTGAAGCCCAAGTAAGTCTTCCATTACTTCGAAGTGATGCTCACTGTAGAGTTTTCGTTCCTAGTTGACATGTTTAGTGCGTGAACGCTTGTTACCGAACTCCTGGCAGCTTCCTATAATCTCAGGTTGGTTCTTCAGTTCAGCTCAAAAGCTGATGAAACGATATCATATATGAGTTTTAGTTTTTTACCCTCTGTTAATAATGTGGCGGAACTTGGATTTATGTGCGACTTTTAAATGAATTCGGTCTTATTAAAGCGTCTGAATACATACAAGAGGTGATAGTGACGTTAATAATTATCCATTGAGAATGTGGCATGTTCCCCTTTGTTTTACTGAATGTTCCTGTTATTCTTTTATTTAATTGTGATGGGATGAAATGCTATCACCTTTTTCATAGGTCTCCAGATACTCCTTCGGTGGTGGGGGGATATTAATGAACTTTCAGCAATTCACACAACCTGTAAAAGACATACTGTTGACCCACGAAGTGTTGAAGATTGTCTCCCTATCGTGGTAAATCTAAGTTCTTAAAATGATACATACTGTCGCGAATTTTTCAAAATAAGTATTCTAAAGCTTCTCATAAAAATAACCATGTTTTATGAAACTGAGTCATATGGTTTTCGCGGTTCACTAAAGCAGATGTTACCAGATTCAATATGATACCACCGTTAACTCATCTTTCTTTCGAATATAGCCGAGAAAAGTGGATCAGCTAGGTTGGTAAAGTATTCGACAAATCATTGTAAAAGTTAGTTAACTTGTAAATACTGAGAGTAGAAGTTTTCAGTATCGCTCTGGAATTCAAAGGGAAATCTAAGTCTGAAATGTCTAAATAATTTTGAAATCATATTTACTTTGTGCTCAAGCTATGTGCCCGTGCCTAAATGATGCTCAGTCAGTTACCATTTGAACTATATCTTATAGGATTGTTGTTATAACAGACACTGTACCTTCTAGAGATGGCATTAGACAAAGGAAATCCAATACGAAGAAAAATGGCAGCTGTTTCGTTCACTGAATCTTCCTGAAAAGAAGAATTTTTAGTTGTTAACCCAGGTAACGGAAACGGATAACCATTTTTCTATCTTATTCTGATATTGTTAGATAACTGCTGCAGGCAAAGTAAACAGGAGGCAAAAGAATGATGAAAACACTTGAGAGCTACAATATAAGCATAAGTTTGCATATTTAATATAAGGAATCAGCAGATCAGCAAAAGAAGAGAATCTGTTCAGTAAATTTTCATTACTTTTATAAAAATGAACGAAGCATGAAACCATTGCGGACATTTAGTCTCAGTGAAAAAACTTATGGTCGTTCACAACCATCCATTTCGCAAAAATTATAAGACCAATGTCATATGGTTTTGACGTCTTGATGAAAACATATCACAGTTCTCTAAATCCGCGAATTTTTTGAGTTGCTGCTCAGAGGGTCACTGAGCCACAGTGATGAGAACTGCAACAAAATATTCATGATAAACGAAATTAATATTCTTCAGTGAGAACATTCATTAAGTCAGTCATTACCCTAAGCGATATTGAAAGTTTTGTAGGATTAGGAACTGCAGAAAATATGAATAAAAATGTCCTGTATTTAGGTCGTCTGGTCTTCCGTTAGGTTCGAACTAAGACGTTAGAGCATAGTTAAAAATTTAAATACTATTTTGATTGATGAGTCGAATGACAAATTGATAAGGTGTCTCTCGATTTCATAGCTAAGGACTCACGTAATAAACAATGGTTTTTAAAATGCATCACATAAGCTTTCAAATACCGATATGCTTTCAACTCATGCATCATACTCCACTAAGAATAAATAGTTAAATTTGAGGTCCCATAAAGAATAATTGAAAACATTCAACTATTCAGCGTGTCGTGCAAAAGTGTTCGCGCTGCGTAATTTCGTCCTTTACACATCTTATTCTGGTTGGCTTCGAAATGTTTTTTACAAGTACTACAAAGTATACCGCTGAATTTCACGACAGGAAAAGTCAACATAGACAGCGATGTGGTTTTGTTGAATCATATTATATAAGACCAAGTGCTTTTGATTGCTAATACTTGATGTCGTTGTCCTGGCGGCACAAAATCTTGATGGCTGTGTCCACTAGAGGAAATTAGAATTAAATTGCGAAATAAGAAAAAGATTCACTTTCTTCATATCGTTTGGTATACCATACTATACTGAGACCCACCGCTACAGATGTATGAATACATACAGCATGACAAAAATGTTCTTTGAGACACCTTTCTTCACGAGTTTCTCAAAAACACTCGAGTCAGAGCTGAAGAATGAAGGGTCGCAAAAACATATTTATCAAGTCGCTGTATCATAGCAGATACATACCATTTTTACAGGCACGACTGATGATTTACAGAGTGTGTTTACAGACAGGGCACAAATTAATGACTTGTTTTGGTGATATGAATTTCGATTGGTGATTTTTGAAGATCTAACCATGCACTGACTATATTGTTGAATTAAAGTTATAACTGCCCAAACTATGCTGAAAAAAGCTTCCAAATCTACCCTCTTGATTTATCGAAAGTACTTAACTTAAATAGAATTTTTCCTAGAGATATTCTGTGATAATCAAACATTTCTAATAGATTTATCTAATAAATCGATATGCTCCTATTCCTTTTATTGTCTTATTGAGATCACTATTATTTTTCAGCGAAATCAATAAATTCATCACTATGGAATCTAAATTTGGTAAAAAGTATGATTTGCTGACGATGGTGAACAGTCTATCAATCAATAAGAAAATGCTGCATAGTTAGAAAATAATCCACAGTTGAAACAAATAGAATATCAGTGTAATGATAGGTTTGGTTGAATAAATAATGCCATTAAGGTTACAAAATCCGTGAAAAAATATGTGATAGAATATTCTTTCAGTTTTACACAGATGTCCATAAATAAGTTAAGTGGTAACCGCATCGCAAATAATGGAGCGTCCGAGGCAAAATATTAGGTTTCAAAAACATAAGTAAACAGACGTCGTCTCATTCACAATCAATGTTTACTGGTTAGTAGTTCCGGTCTCCCTCCTTTTTTGATTTTAAGCTGTTCGAATGTGATCGTTAGACAAAAATTATATTTTACGCCAATATATGTTCAGACTGTTAGAGAATACTGTTTCTACAAATACCATGTTCCTTAAAGCTAATAGAACTTAGAAACAGTATTGTATGGCACCATAGATTACTTACTTACTTTCGCCTGTTACCCCCAATGGAGCATAGGCCGCCCACCAGTTTTCTCCAACCAACTCTGTCCTGGGCTTCCCTCTCCAGTTCTGTCCAATGTTTGTTCATTCCTCTCATATCTTTCTCTATTTCTCGGCGTAGTGTGTTCCTTGGCCTTCCTCTTTTCCTTTTGCCTTGAGGGTTCCATGTGAGGGCTTGTCTAGTGACGCAGTTGGGTGCTTTTCGTAGTGTATGTCCTATCCATTTCCACCGCTTCTTCCTGATTTCCTCCTAAATTGGAATCTGGTTTGTTCTCTCCCACAGTTCGTTGTTGCTGATGGTGTCTGGCCAACGAATACGAAGTATTTTGCGTAGACAACTGTTAATAAACACTTGTATCTTCTGGATGATGGCTTTCGTAGTTCTCCATGTTTCCGCTCCATACAGTAGCACTGTCTTGACATTTGTATTGAAGATCCTGATTTTGGTTTTGGTTGAAAGTTGTTAACAGTTCCAGATATTTTTCAACTGTAGAAATGCAGCCCTCGCTTTGCCAATCCGTGCCCTCACATCTGCGTCCGATCCACCTTTCTCGTCAATGATGCTGCCAAGATATGTGAAGGTGTTAACGTCCTCCAAGGTATCTCCATCAAGCGTGATTCGGTTGGTGCATGTTGTGTTGCATCGGAGAATTTTGCTTTTTCCTTTATGTATGTTGAGACCTACTGCTGCAGAGGCTGCTGCTACACTCGTCGTCTTCTCTTGCATTTGTTGTTGAGTGTGGGATAGAAGAGCCAGGTCATCTGCGAAGTCCAGATCGTCCAGCTGCGTCCTAGCTGTCCACTGAATACCGTGCTTCCCTTCAGATGTCGACGTCTTCATAATCCAGTCGATGACCAGGAGAAAGAGAAAGGGTGAGAGTAAGCAACCTTGCCTGACACCGGTCTTCACCTCGAAAGAGTCGGTTAGCTGTCCTCCGTGCACGATTTTGCAGTTGAATCCATCATAAGTATTCCGTATGATGTTAACTATTTTCTCAGGCACCCCGTAGTGTCGAAGAAGCCTCCACAGTGTTTCCCTATCCACGCTATCAAATGCTTTCTCGTAGTCGATGAAGTTGATGTAGAGTGGTGAGTTCCATTCAATTGATTGTTCCACAATGATCCGTAATGTAGCAATTTGGTCAGTACACGATCGATCCTTACGAAATTCGGCCTGTTGATCTCGAAGTTGGGCGTCTACGAAGTCCTTCATTCTGTTTAACAATACTCTGTTGAAGACTTTGCCTGGTATTGAAAGAAGAGTGATGCCTCTGTAGTTCTCACACTTGCTCAGGTCGCCTTTCTTTGGTATTTTGATCAGGTATCCTTCTTTCCAATCTGATTGTACTTGTTCCTCATCCCAAATCTTCTTGAAGAGGATGTGAAATATTTTCGCAGTTGCTTCCATATCTGCTTTCATTGCCTCTGCTGGAATGTTGTCTGGTCCTGCTGCTTTGCCGCTCTTGATTTGTCTGATGGCTATACTGATCTCCTCAATCGTAGGTGCGCCAATATTAATTGGGAGGTCCGTGGATGCTGCTTCGATGTTGGGTGGGTTCAGTGGAGCTGGTCGATTCAATAGTTCCTTAAAGTGCTCCACCCACCTATTTCGCTGTTGTTCAGTGTTGCTGATTATTTTCCCTTCCTTGCTTTTCACTGGTCGTTCTGGTTTACGATAGTTTCCGGCGAGCTTCTTTGTAGTTTCGTACAATTGTCTCAAGTTTCCTTCTCTTGCAGCCTTTTCCGCCGTCATTGCTAGATCCTACACATATTTTCGTTTGTCAGCTCTGATGCTCTTCTTCACTTCCCTGTTTGCTTCTGTATACTCGGCTTGCGCCTTAACTTTCTCTGCTCTTGTTCGGCAGACATTGATAGCTGCCTTCTTGTTCCTCCTTTCTTGAATTTTTTCAAGAGTATCAACAGAGATCCATTCCTTGTGATGGTGCTTCTTGCGACCAAGGACCTCCTGACATGTTGAAGTGATTGCCTCCTTAATCCCTTTCCAATTGTTCTCCAATGTTGCTTCCTCTCCATTGAGTAGATCCTGAAAGGCCTGGAACCTATTGGTGAGGGTTATCTTGAATTCGTTGAGTTTTACAGTATCCCGAAGAAAGGCCGTATTAAACTTCTGTGATGTTGTCTGCCCCGCTGTCCAGTGCTTCTTTAGCTTCAATCTCATTTTGGCGATCATCAAGTGGTGATCTGAAGCTATATCAGCTCCTCTCTTGGTTCTCACATCCTCCATGGTCCTTCTGAACTTTTTGTTGATACAGATATGGTCAATTTAGTTTTGAGTAGTGTGATCCGGTGAAATCCATGTAGCTTTGTGTATGCGTTTGTGCGGGAATATTGTGCCACCGATGACAAGTTTGTTGAAGGCACATAGGTTTGCAAATCTCTCACCGTTTTCGTTCCTTTCTCCCAGTCCATGTCGTCCCATGATGTCTTCATATCCAGTGTTGTCCATGCCAACCTTGGCATTCAGGTCTCCCATAAGAATCGTCAAATCCTTTGGTGAACATTTCTCGACGATTGACTGCAGCCTTTCGTAGAATTGATCTTTAACGTCGTCATTGTAGTCATTGGTAGGTGCATAACATTGGATGACGTTCATTGTAATGTCCTCTTTCTTCGTTTTGAAGGATGCTTTAATGATCCTGGGTCCATAAGATTCCCATCCTATCAGTGCCTTTTGTGCATGTTTGGACAGCATCAGTGCAACTCCTTGTGTATGTGAAGCGTTTTCCTCTTCATGTCCAGAGTATAACAGCAGTTCCCCTGAAGCTAGTCTCAGTTGTCCTACCTGTGTCCAATGTGTTTCACTGATGCCGAGCACCTCGAGGTTGTATCTTTTCATTTCTGCCGCAACTTGAAATAGTCTTCCAGTCTCCCACAATGTACGAACGTTCCATGTACCTAAAAGAATGGTTGCTCTGGTTGTCAGAAGGAGCATTGGCCCTGTACCTTCCGAGGGGACTCGGCTTTCATCACGAGACGTCATAATTCTTCTTCCGACTCCCAGGTCAGAGTGAAAATGGTTTGAATTATTTTTTCTGGTTAGCGTTTTTTTGGCAAGTGAGATTTCAACGGAATGGGGCCGCCAACCCCATGTCCAACCCTCCTCCTTTATCCGGGCTTGGGACCGGCAGTAACCCCTAAGGTTCTACTGGACAATCACCTAACCATAGATTAGAGTACGGGTTTCTGAAGAACATAAGTTATCAGGAATAAACCAGTGAGTAGATTTTAAGAATGCAATTTATTTGGGGCAATGAGTAAGGAAATGAAAACCACTGGTCGGATAGTAAAATTACACGATTCAAGGGAATTATGTCTTGGTTTGCGGTGTTTCTTATGAATAGTTACTAAGAGCTTCACATTTTCTACCCCATTTATTTCTAAATACATCAAGTTTTCCTAGGTCGTGATGAAGGGAGATTGAGGGTTTGAAATTTAGACCAGTTCAGATGAAAATTCAAAAAGATATGGTCCACTAATCAGACATGTGCCAACTAATTTATGAGGAATTCGGGACTAATAGGGTTGATACTAACAATAATCTTATATAATAATAATAATTTATTCTCAAATAACAAACATGTTACAAGAGACATGCCAATTTACAGGCAAGACCAAAAGTTGATGTCTGAGAACAAAAAGTAATAGACATAAGAAAGAAATTCATGGGGTGTCCAGGAGCGCTTACGATGCCGTAAGTTATTCGAAATACGCCTATACTACTGTGTGTAAAGAAGCAGTGATTTAAGGTGGTGTTAGAAGGGTTTGAACCCTTAAGCTGACTTCGTAATTAGTGCAAGGTGTAGTGATGAAATATAAACGTTTATTATTGTACTTAATTCTAACAATAATTGTTATATTGTACACCTTTTGTTTATCTGTACAAAATACTATCTCTCGCACGCCAATCGTGTTATTCCCATTCTCCTCCTTCGCCCGTCTCCTGCATGGACATAAGCCGCTTGTACGCCCTCTGGCCTCGATATTATTTCGATATCACGGGGATAGCACTAAATATACTTCTTCCCCCAGAATAGTCTTTTATTTGATCCTTAGAGTAACGGGATTAACATTTATTATCCCACGAAGTGGTATTATTATTCGATTCGCTATAAAGGTTTATTCAAAAGGCTTTTTTTAGTAAGCGTAAGAATTAGAACATGGGATGCCAAGATTCGTAGGTCTTTTCAAGCAGGGCACCTCTAAATGAGTTATCTAGGTTGTATGTGTAGTCTGTAGCATGCCCCTGGTGATATGTGAAGAGTAAGTTCGCGATCATTTGCAGAACTTTGAGTCAAATCATCCTGAAGGGACGGATCATCATCTTGAGGGAAAACTTTTCTCCAGGGAAAAGTAATCACTTAGATGATGTTTGCTGGGGAAGCCAATTAATCTGTAATAAAATGAGACGAGGACTTTGTACAGAACTTCAGTGGTTCCAAATAAGTCACTCTTCAGGCTGACAGAAGTAAACTCTGATCTTAAAAAGTTGATTATTTAGATGTGCAGTCACTCAGTTCATTAGTAGTGTCCTAATACCTAGCAGTTTGAGTTACTGGATGAGACATACGACTGACTTCCTTAAAAGCTTGTAGTGAGATTGTAACTACTTATCGCGAGATTACCTAGTAAAATCCCGTTAAGTCCGAAAATCAACAGGAAGACCGCAATTGGATGATGAAGTGTATTGATTCACGGTCTCGTGGCATCGAAAAGATATCAAGACCGGAATAAAGTAGCAGCTAACACTGTCCGAAACTACGACATAAGAATTTTGAAAATTCTTGAGCACTAGCAGCCTTACTTTTTTTACCATACCGTCATTTAGGGTCGCTAGTATCGTCTGCTTTAAGAAAATATTTGAAGGTTACCTACTACAGTGCCCTAATTCAATAAGATATGTGTGGCGCATTCAATATATTACGCTACCGGCTCTTAGTTTATTTCATTGGCTTGGCTTGTGTTGTTCCTGGTTGTTGTCGATTGCTCTATTTGTTAAACACAGGTGTATTCTGTGTACTAAATGAGTCGTTGGCTCAATCTTCCCCTTGTTCATTTTTTGTCCGCGTTTTTTGTATTTCCAAACACTGATAGATATTACCTCACAATTAACAAGATTTCTCCGGTGAAGAGTTGACTGAAGCACTTGTTTCTATAGCCTTTACTATAACTTGGTCATTATATATATACTTACTTGTTCAGGCTGTGACTATATGATTTGCTTACTTCATATAATTGTTTGAGCATTTGGATATAATACTTTTGGTTTCTTGGAACGCTTACTGGTGCCACCCAGAGTGATTTGGTGATCTTTCTATCCCAAAACTTTATAATGTAAAAACCTGGTATATAGTTTCTTACTGCTACGATGGCTATCATTTCTGCTTTTTATGATCGTCTATTAATACGATCACCTAAGCTGAGATCACACAGACACAATCCCGATCCACTCAATTTGATTAAGTCCTATAATATTCGGTTTCTTTCCTCAGAGGTAGTATAAATTTTAAATTTCAGCTTATTACTACTAACTTAGTTATTGAGGACTGAATGTGGCTTGTTTTGTTTTCAAATCTAGCCTTTGATTGGTTTTCGAGAAACTTTCTTGTGAAAAATAAGTGAACGATGCGAGATCTATTTTAATAAACTGAAATTTTGTTTCCTAAACTCTTCATCCCCTTAGCCCGGCCTGGCAACAGGCGCATAGGCCTGACTTTTGCCTATTTCTGCAGGTGTTGCTGTTAATTAATTTTACTTTGTCTTCTAGACACATTTAGAACGTACGAGCTTTGTCCCTGTACGATTTCTTTTGCATTCCCGAGGTGTTCTGTAGCTTAATCCATCGACTCACATTTTGGAGCACTTTGTAATTTCCATCTTCACATGCTCTTTTACTCTTTAGCCTTGCTTATATCTACTTTTTTATCTACTACTTTAAGGGGGTTCATGGTGATAGCTTCATACCCATTTAATCCTAAATTCATGATGATTCTCCTTGTTTCCTCCAGATCTGACAGCTGCTCACCCGCTGATGGCTGCTTATCTAAGTGCGGCTTTATCACCTCAAGTCAGCAAGTACTTTACAGAGCAGCATGCTTTTCATAGGGATCATGATAGTGGCTTCCAACACCTATGTGCAGCCAGTGTGATCCTGATGCTCACGTTGTTATACCATTTGTTGCACCTACCCCATTGCATTCCAACATCGACCGGAAAATAGCATATGGGTCTACTACAACAATTTTTTGTTAAATGAGTTTATAAAAAAGCGTAAAGATTTCTTCAGGTACAGAAAAAATACACAACTAATTTCTAGAAAACTGTTTCAAAAACTAAAATGGTTGACAGTGAACACAAAATACTGTAACTTTTATATCACTGTAACTGTTAATCAAACTTAATACAGCATAAAAGAAGGCTTTATACGTTAGTACATACCTAACTAAAACCAAAAGGTTTACTCAGCGAGGAAATATACCACTATCTTATATTTTCATTTTCATCATCACCATTTCTCCGCTAAAGTAACGTGTGCAAACTCTAACTGAAACTCATGCTGCTGCATGGATTGCGCTATTAAACATCTTATTTTTTGGACGTTTGTGCTTAGATATGTTTGTTAAGCCCGAAATCCTCATTTTATCATACCTTCTTTATGTTCCAGCCATGAATATGTAATGTAAAACCGCCTCAATATAACAGTCAGTTATCAGTTCTTGGACCCACCATCAAAGTATGATCATGGATACTTTTGGATTTTATACTACCCTTCTTGTGATTATTGTGTTGTATATAATTTTTCGAAAATTGGAGCGAATTTCACATGAAAATATACAAAAGAATCCCAGTTCCATTGGTAACTGTGAACCAGAAGGTCCTAATCATAATAACTTTTTAGCACTAATGAATCAAAGTGTAAGATATTTATTTGGAGGATTACTTACCATATTTAGAGTATCAAAGTGTCTATTTTTTATGGATCTCAGACAGGGATTGCTAAAAAATTCGCAATTAATCTTGGTCATCATCTTCACTCCTGTGGAATACGTAACTTGGTGGTAGACTTGCGACAAGTAAACATGGTACGATTCTACTACACAATCTATTTTGCTATTTTATCTTATAGTTGGTGTTGCTTACATATCAAATAATTTTTTGTTTATGGTTTTTTCCAGTTTTTATACGTCTAGACAATATTTCATGGTAAAAGAAAATTAGAGAAACAAGCAACTATATAGTGTTCTGTTCCTTAAATAACTTGACCTGTTAGATCACACGTTCGAACGATCAAACGACCATTTTCCTTGCAATATTAGTCAAGATCTATTGACTGCTACTTTTGATTTTTCTCTTTGACAAAATATAAAAACCTGAATAAAGTTATGTTACTTGTGAAAAAAACATGCGTAACCGTTTTTGGATCCGATTTCTTTATGAAAATGTTCATCTGGTTAAAGCATTTGGTATATGATTATTACACTCAGTTAGATGTTGTTAACCAGCCAATAGGTTCTTGTTACGCAGCTGTAATAGAAAAATAGTTTTATTACAGGTTGGATTATCCTTTATTTGATCAGTAATTCCTTCACTTCACGATTGTTTTCAAGATGTCACTCGTGTACTGTAAATCGTATATTTCAATTCTCACAACAAAATGAATGCAATAAATATGATAATATAAGTGGGCCTTATTTGTTTGTTCTCCTTTTAGTTCTTTGACAAGTGTATTCAGAACATAATACCATAGTCTTTATTAAGTACATTTCACAATCAACATGTTATCGACGAACTGATATATATATATATATATATATATATATATATATATATATATAAATTTTTAGTTTATAGTAAACAACTTTGCGGATAGCCAGTATAATCTGGTACCAAAGGATTGCTAAATTAAGCAACAGGTGTTCACACAAACCGGAAAAATCAATAAAGCTCATGAAGCTCCTGAGTTTTTGTGTTTCTGAATTGAATATTAAGGTCCCGTATTCAAAAACGGAAGTAGTACTTTCACTAAGCAATGATGTATAAATACCTAATTTTACGTTTCTGTTGTTCAAAGTCATTCCATTTGAACAGTTATCGTCACATTTCTACGATGATCTACATCTCTGTTTTAAATATTAGTTTGGGTATTTTTCTTAGCTTACTAACTACGGTGATAATTCCAAATATAGTATATATGATGTTTTTCATAGTTGAAACCACAAAATGATCTTAGCTAGACTACGACTAGAACCCTGAAAGTGATAGATAATCGTCTCGTCTTTATATGGAACTCCTCAGCAGGGCTCATCCACAATCCCCGCATGCGGGGCTCGAACTCGCTCCGGATGTTAACTTGCAGTGTGGGTTCTGACTAGTATACAGAGAGGTGTCACCCAGAAGTTACTACTGGAGAGAAGTATCGGATCTGAGTGTACAGCGCGATCAAAGTGTTTTTAAGACCAGAAGTCATGTAGAAATAGACAGTCAATAGTCTACTTTTTTTGAAAATGGAAGTCTGAAGATAAGGTGCACATATTTTGTACCTAAAAAGTGTTTTCTCTGGTATTAATACTCTTCGCACAAAACATGAATACTAACTTTATAATTACTTTATTTAGACCTGCTTTAATTAAAATTTAGTAATTGATATATGTTCTAGGCTGAATAAACTTTTACTTCGCTTAACGTGGCCTAGTGGCGAAATCACTTGACTCCCAACCAAATAGTTGTAGGTTTAAACACTCTCCATACTACTTCAGTTTAGAAGTCAAATAGTATGATTCGCTGTCATACAAAAGAGTATGACTTAGGACCGAGCAGATGTAACTTGGTCACCAGGTTAGTTAGTATTTTAATACGTTGTTTATTATTTTAAATATCTAGTACTTATTTCGTTCTGTAGCTGTCAAACTAACTAACTTTTCTTTCTTCCATATTTAACAAAAACCTTATTTATTCTATTAGGACTTATTAGCAAATTTATCTATGTTGGACGCTTGTGTAGCCTTATTCGTTGTTGCAACTTATGGTGAAGGTGAGCCAACTGATAATGCTCAAAATTTTATGGATGATCTGAAGAATTCTTACCAGAAGTTGAATGATCTACGCTTTGCGGTAATAATCTTACTGTTCACTAATAATCGTTGTCTATAAGTTAACCTTATCATTTTTTCAATGTGTTGGTTTAGAGTATCGGATTTTACTACAAACGCGTTGATTAACGCAGAATATGTGTGGAAGAATACTAATTACATTTATTTCTGCAATCAAAATAAATTTTGTAGATTGTTATGTTTATCCATTCAACTTTTTAGAGACTAAAAAGATATTGGTGAATAAATGTACCAGAATTTGCACCATAGTATTGTAATAAGACCGAACCAGGTTTAAGACATCTTTTTAGAGAATACGCCCTCGTTTTTTTAGGGGTTGACTTATCTTGTTGATTTAAAGCACGAACATGTTATAGTTCTTTGGCGAAGCAGTTTTCTGACCACCTTAAGCAACAATGATAGCATGTTTGAGATACAATTCTCTCCCTTTAAATACAAAGTGCTGCTTCAGGATCGGGTTACGTCGGCTGCGGAATCAGTGATGAGGAGTAAAATAGTTGAGCTTATTGACCGCTTCACTTATCTTGGGAGTTTTATTAGTCCTAATGGCCTGGTGTCTTAGAAATATCGGCATGAATTCAGAAAGATCAATTGGTTTTCGCCAACTTGCGTCACTTGTGGAGTAAATGGGATATCCGTCTGCCAACCAAAGGAGGAGTTTACTACTCAACAGTCCACTTCGTTCAGCTTTATGGGTGTGAAACATGTTCTTTAAGATTAGAGGGTATTTTTAAGTTACTGCTCACAGATGTCTTCGAAGTATTTTTCGTGAATTTTAGGGTCACCGAGTAAGCAATGCCTTGGTTAGGAATATAGTAGTGGATAAAAATGGCATGTAGAATTATGAACTAGTAAATTTACACCAACGGGGATGATTGGGACATGTTTCACGTACGCCTGACCACCTGCTACCTCGACGGGAGATATCGTCTTGTGAAGGATTAGGCTGGAAGGAAGTTGAGGTAGCTAAGCCAAATCATATTATCAGTCGATGAAGTCACTGACAACAGGACTGAGCCATATTAATATGTGTAGACTATCTGGTTGGATTCCGCGTGTTAATCGTAACCAATGGTTATATACTTTGAACGAAATGTTTCGGAATTGTTTGCAGTGACAATTACATCTCTGTGCTAATGTGGTATGGCAACATGAACTGATGTAATTGCGTACGAAGTTCTGCGTTGCATCTGATTGACTGACTGTTTGCAGTGGCACTGGTGCATCCACTCTTCGTCTGCCTGCAAATTCTTAGCTCTTGAATTCCTTATGTTTTAGTTTGGCTTTATCCTACCTTTTATTCACTATCTTTTCGATTATCACTAATACTTTGACTATCTCTACTACTCTGGGATTTGCCCTAACAGTTTTATCCCGCTGTACTAATGGGGTATGGTAATTTGAACCCGTACAAGTATGTTACCATGTTATACGTTGCAGGTGATTGATAGAATGGACGTATTAGGTTTGCGTACAATGTAACGCTAACTTAGTTTTGTATTTTAGCTTCGTTTATATTTTAGTCGTAGGATTAAAAACTGTTATATTTTTAATTATCCCAAATCAGTTTCAGTTTTTAGATGCGAAGGAATAAACTTACTCTACAATACAGTTTTTTTCTTACCTATTCATGAGCAATGTGATAATGAATTTTAATTATTATTGTGAAGTTTCCATCAATAATGCTAACAACCAAGGTATATCTTTACTTCCACAAAATCTAGAAGTGCAAGTATCTACTAAAATTGTGCTTTAACTTTAAAGTTGTGGATAACTTAAAACTTCAGTGTTCTTCGTCGGTTTACTTATTTCGAATGTTTCATTATGACACCTGGCTTAAACTTTATCAAAGTTTATTATTCTCTGTACAACTTTGTACTGTACATTTAGGGAGGAACATCTATAAAAGTAATAGTTAGAGACCTTCAGTGACATGGCTCAAAACCGTTTGCAAATCCTCTGGATTCTTCATCATGTTTACTTTTTTCTTTTTAAGTTTAATTCACTAGATTCTACTTCTTGAATAATATCGTCTAACCCTTATCTCTCCGATTACTGCTAATACTTCTAAAACAACTACTACTATGGGATTTGAACTGACAATTGAATCTCTGTGCAAATGTGGTATAGGAACCTGAACTGATGTACGTCCGTACAAAGTTCTGCGTTGTAACTGATTGACTGACTGAATAGTTTGTGGATATGAGTTATAATAAACCCAGACTTCGTTGATTGGATTTCTTATAGCTTTAAAATCTTTTCTCATTATAGGTTTTCGGGTTGGGCAACAGTATGTATACGTATTTCAATGCTACTGGGAAGTCAATGGACCGTTTGCTTAGTAAACATGGAGGTAAACGTTTACAAGCATTGACGTTAGGAGATGAAGTCAATGAATTAGAATCTACTTTTATGAATTGGAGAAATCACTTAACTTCGTTATTGATCGACTTTTTTAATCTAAAAGGCAATGATAAAAATGATTTAAACATGCAATATAAACGAATATACTGTTTAAAACGCATGAAGTGGGACATTCCACTTATTTCTCACTTTGCTAATATGTTTATAAATAAATCCTACGTTAAGAAGACATTGTAAGTTTTCAATTTTGAACACTTAAGTTGTTCGTAACCATTCAGACTCAAGCTGTATGTTACTAACTTTTATCAGGGTATGCTTTTAAAGTAGACTTATGTCGTTTCTGTCATATTATCTTCAAGATAACTAAAACAAAACTGACATGATAAGTTGATCTTATAAGGTATAATCGTCTTGTGCTAGTTTTCGTCTTCTAATGATCGTTGGCTAAAGAATCATTAAAAACCAAAGAGTTCTGGACAGCTGTCTTGTTCGTTCTACTTCGTGATGACTCAACAGTTTTCACACAAACACGATGACGTTAAGTTTAGAACCTAGGACCCTTCAGTCTCTCTTCTAACACATTGTTATCACATCTCTGAGTCTAGTGATCTCAGTTTTCAAATCAAGTTAATTAGTAATCATGCTTACACGTGTATGTGCTGTGTAATATATATTCTTAGCTTTTGGAGTTCATTGGTTAAAAGCCACAGAAGAAACAGACTTTTTCGCACTAAAATCCGTGGTAATTACTATCTATATTCTTTGGTTTTAATTTCTGTATTCACAAATCAGTTTTGAAATTTCGAGTAAAATGAAAACAAATTGGAAGATTGTCTTGATTTGAAAAAGTATATATTTGCTCAGTTTTACACTGAACAGTTGTGAAAAAATTAGTAAAATTGAAAACTAATATCGTGTGGGCAAATAATTGTTTCTAGCATCTTCGTCATCAGGTATCAGGTTTGTATGTACATAATTTTTGTCTTACCATGGCTAAAATAAGACATCTATGAATAGGCTTCTTAAACTGTTATTTGTTTAATGAAAACTAAAATTTTTTGTCGGTTGGGCTTTAGCTATACTCAAAATGTGTTATTTCTAACATCTGATTAAGTTAAATACTGAAAATAATTTTTACACGTTGATCTCGTGTGCCTTTAGGCGTATGAGGGTGGTTGTCACTTTCCGGCTTCCCAGACTGTACAAGAATATTTCTTGAGGGACCTGAAAAGGAGGTTAGGTTAGCACTGGTCTTAATTATCTGGGAGCGTGATCGCAGAGCATAGGGGACAGCTCCTTGAAGCCGGTCGAGCATGGCCTTTTTAATGAGAAGTTTTTAACGTGTTGACTCCACTTTTCAAAAGGCCGTACCGTAGGAGACCGAAATCCATGGTATAAGTTGAGGTGTGAGACTTTTAGGGTTGACGTTTTCGTACTCTATACTCTATTGTAAAAAGGTAACATCATTGTAGATGCTGGTTGTCGGAGGAAAACACCTTACTGCTGTCACATCCCTCTACAGTCAGCAGTACGTTGTTGCTCTCAGTCTTACTGCTCTCCAACCGACCTGCTTGTGATGATAGGATCTAAGAAAACGGGCAATATAGCTCGGTTGCGTCATCACACTAAACAAGCACGATCATCATGTCAAGGTGGCAGCCACAGTGATTTTTCTTAAACGCTTGCTTTCGAAATCAAACTATCAACAAACAGTGGTTTTTCGTTATGATGTAGATGTAAAACGATCGCTTCCATATAGCTTGACGAATAATAACCAATTAGAGTGAATAACTTTTTTTTTGTATCAGTAAAATACAATCAGATAAATTGTGTAATAAAATATTGGTTACTTGTAAGTAATATTGTTAAATTAGACAGATATTACATATGGTGGTTTGTGTTTTAAGAGCTTTAAAAATGTTTTTAATAACATTCTGACACTATTATGCATTCTTAGAGTTGACATTGTTTATTCTTTCGTACTACTGTGTAATTAACTAAAAGAAATGACGTAAGAGGATTTTAGACAAAACAAAAGAAGCAATATAAAATCCACTAATCTAAATTGACTGTACTGGTAATTTAAAAAATATGCAGAATGTTTCATATATTAAGCCTAGTAGGTCAGTGCACATGTTTCCCACTAATTAGGAGGGTAATGGTTTAGCAGTTTATTCACGATGCTATTGGTCAGGTGTATCGACCTTAATTATAATTTCCTTTTTATATTTGTACCTTATTCTGAGTTATATTAATTGGAAATCATGATTTATATGTTCAGTTAATGGAAGTAAAGATTTTATATACGATACATTACTTTGTTTTATACGTTGCTTATGATTTACATTCTATGAAACCTTTGAAAGTCATTGATTTCAAACATGCATTAGGCAAGGATGAATCATTTCAACAAAATTGATAAATTTCAATGACAAGCTTTTTATAAGAAATTAAATTAAATGCCAACAAACCGAGGTTTTAAGTGGTTAAAAACAAATTATGCAACTTTGTTGTCGTTGTTGAGTGACATGGCTCAAAACCGTTTGCAATAGCACAGGTCCATCCTCTCTGTGTGTTCTGTCAAATCGTTCCTCATCACATTTATCTTTTTCTTTTTAAGTTCATTTCACTAGATTCTACTTCTTCAACAATATCGTCTAACCCTAATCTCTCCGATTACTTCTAATTCTTTTACTACCTCTACCACTATGAGATTTGGCTTGACAATTCCATCTCTGTGCTAATGTGTTATAGCAACCTGAACTGATGTACCGACGTACGAAGTTCTACACTGCTGTTGATTGATTGATTGAAACTTTTTTGTACAAGTGTTTATTAGCTTTAATAGGTTTACCTAATTTATCAAACCAATTTTTTTTATTTACAATCATTGTAAATGAATTGTAATGCTGAAAAGAGTAGTAGCATAGTTTTCATCTGTGATCCTATAATTTATGCGTTTTCTGAACTACAATAACATTTTAATTGAGTTGTGTGTGTTTTTTTTTTCAATTAGTTCCTGACGTTGACTACTTATTCAAAATATATATATGATCATAATCTTATTTAGATCTATTAATAATTTAACTGTTATGAATGCACGTCAAATTGATATGCTTGAACTATTACGAGTTCACCTTAGTCGGTAAACGAGATCCAGGATCGATGATTCGGCGATACGAGTAAAAGAAGAAGACTTGATATGAAGTAGAACGTGTATTCTAAAAACATTCAGAAAGTATGCAATCTGAGTCCAGAAGAGGATCAGGATCACGGACTAAGGATCTGGGTCATAAAACCTTACAGATAAATGCATATTTATTACAGTTACGTCGAATAAGAAACAACATAGAAGTATATGACATTGATAGTTACAACGACCAACAGGAATTGACCAATAGAACTAAACTTACAAATAATTCTCTTAGGATATTGGATGAATATCCTAACATTAACAAAAATGATACAAAGGAAGTTAGTGCCATCTTTATTTGTTTTTGTTTTTTTAAAACTTACACCATATGTTTGTTATTCATATAATATTGATTAAATTTTAGACTATATGAAGCCGAAAATTATTTCTATGCTTCTGTTATTATCAATAAAGAATTATATCATAAAAGTTCACGTTCTTGTCGCCATATTGAATTGGATTTGTCTGATTCTCAACTCGTGTATGTTTATTCATTATCATTACTATTTAATTATTGTTGTTGATACGAAAAAAAAGAAGAATTATTATCTTTTTCACTGTTCACTGTATTGATTGAACATTAGAGTTTATTATTACTATTAGTAATCTAGTTTTAATGGTGCTTCATAAGTTATTTTTGTTTGATGAAAGAATTTTAATCACCTTGTTGGTTTTTTTTTAGAGTCAGATAAGTTTTGTTTTGTGGTGAAAAAGTACATAGAAAAAAATGTTGAATTCGACCTTGTATTTAACATTCATATTGACAATGATTATTTAAAAAAAAATTTCATACTTATTGTTTAGTAGTTTTCTGCTTATCAATGCTCCATGAATTAATCATGGCTATTTAGTTGCAAACAAATGCAAGAGAAGACAACCAGTGTAGCAGCAGCCTCAGCAGCAGTAGGTCTCAACATACATAAAGGGAAATGTAAGATTCTACGATGCAACACAACATGCGTCAACCAAATCACTCTTGATGGAGATTCTTTGGAGGACGTTGACACCTACACATATTTTGGCAGCATCATCGAAAACCAAGGTGGATCCGATGCAGATGTGAGGGCGCGGATCAGCAAAGCAAGGGCTGCATTTTTACAATTGAAAAATATCTAGAACTCCAAACAAATATCAATCAACACCAAAATCAGAATTTTCAATACAAATGTTAAAACAGTTCTACTGTATGGAGCGGAAACTTGGAGAACTACGAAAGCCATCATCCAGAAGATACAAGTATTTATGAACAGTTGTCTACGCAAAATACTTCGGGTCTGTTGACCAGACACTATCAGCAACAACGTACTGTGGGAGAGAACGAACCAGACTCCAGTGGAGGAGGAAGTCAGGAAGAGGCGGTGGAAGTGGATAGGACACACACTACGAAAAGCACCCAAATGCATCACGAGACAAGCCCTCACATGGAACACTCAAGGCAAAAGGAAAAGAGGAAGGTCAAAGAACACATTAAGCCGAGAAATAGAGAAAGACATGAGAAGAATGAACAAAAACTAGAAAGAACTGGAAAGGGAAGCCCCAGAACAGGGTTGGTTGGAGAAAACTGGGGGATTCAAAAGATTAAGATTTGAGCCACAAGATTCAAGTGTTTATTAACAATTATCTACGCAAGATACTGAGCATCCGTTGGTCAGACACTATCAGCAACAACCTACTGTGCAGAAAACAAACCAGATCCCACCCGAAGAAAAAATGCTGGAAGTGGATAGGACACATTGCGCAAAGCAGCTAACTATTTCACAAGACAAGTCCTCACATAGAACCCTTCTAGGTGAAAGCTAAAGAGGAAGAACAAGGAACACATTACGCCGAGAATCTGGAATAGACATCAAAATAACGAATAACAGTTGGCTAAAACTGGAAAAGAAGATACAGGACAGAGTAGGTTGGACGACTAGTAGTCGTCGGCCTGTGCTCCACTTTGGCTAACAGGCATAAGTAAATAAACGGGATTAAGGATAGATGATGAAATTCTAGATGAATTGAAGCACTGAATATAACGCAAATGATTTAAAGATTTATGACCTATGCGAAGACAAAACCGAAAATATCTGCTCGATTGAAACGGATTCTAAACCATACCATCCGATATCTCCAACCATTGGTCACGATAACTTCATGGACTCCAACCAGGTAGTCTGTACCTACCAACATAGTTTGAACCAACAGTCAATGAATCCACACACTCATGGCCGTTAGTTTTATTCCCACCTACTCTTACATCAGCTTACATCCCTGTCGAAGCCGACTGTGGTTTGGCATACGCGTTACATCCCTTAATCACCTCAGTCGACGATGATTCACAAGCTCGTTTAGTGATTTACTGTTTTTATTACCTTGCATCTAACTCCGACATCGCTCATGCGGTTGTCTCATAATATGTTAGCAGTTTCTTCGAGTACTCGTAACTTTTTCATCTTAATTCTTAACATTTTAACGGTGTCTATCCATCAGATTAAAGAATAACTGATAAAAAAAGATTATTTCAATGTTTTAGAATTTACAAATCATATAAATTCTTGTAAGTGGCAACTTTATGCATAATATTCTTTAAGAAAAATTCCTTCAACAAATATATTTTTCTTTTTTTTATATCAGATATAAAACTGGTGATCATGTTGCAATATTTGCACCGAATCCTTCAGAGCTTGTCGAAAAGATTGGTGATCTTTTAAAAATTGATTTGGATGAACTAATTAGTTTAGATGCTGTTGATTGTAAGTGGTCTCAACACTTGTCACTGTAAATTTTTTCAATAAAATTTGAATTTATATCGCATATTCTTTATCATTAGTTAAACGAACCCAAACCTAGGTAATCGCTATTTTTATACATTTATTCTAGTTACAAAATATCATAGGTGACAATATTCCATATCGTTCATGATAAATGTTTGAATGTTTAGTTAAATATGTGTGTTTGCGTATGCTTAAGCACCAACTACCTCGTCCAGCCATGTTTTGCGATATAGGACTAGGTTGGAAGAGAGCTAGGGGTGGCCAAACCAAAACGTGGCGCAAATCCATGAAGCCACTGACTATTGAATTGAGTCATGTTGGTAGGTGTTGGCTACGTGGTTGTGGCCGGCGAGATGATAGTAATCGATGGTTAGAGACCTTGAATACAATGGCGCAGGTGCATTTATTCTTTGTGTTCTCTCAAATTCTAACCTTCAGAGTTCCTCATCACCTTTATCTTTTTATTTTTAAGTTTATTTCACTAGATTCTACTTCTTGAATGATATCGTCCAACACTTATATCTCTGCTAATACTTCTACTACCTCTAGTACTATGGGATTTGAAGTGACAATTGTATCTTTTTGCAAATGTGGCATGGTAACTGGAACTGATGTGCGTACATACGTACGAAGTTCTTTGTTGTAACTGACTGACTAAACATGTGCATTGTAATAGTTTGGTTTTTCTTGGTCCCATTTATTTATAATCTAAGTTAGCAAGAATTTCTAAAACTATAATTTTCCATTTAACCATTAAGTACATTGGAGTTGTTTCTTTTTAACTAGTGAGTTAAATATCCTCCCTTACAATTTATAGTATTCCGTAGATATATTGTGTGAGCTGATTATTCAATTCGATATAAGTAGTATATAGCGGGAATAGGTCGTAAAATTCTTACTATTAGAAGAGAGAGATTAGTACAGGAAGAAGATAAACAGGAAGCAATCAGAGTAACAACAAGAATAAATGGACGGAAAAGATTGTGAGGAATAACTGAAGTAAAATGTGCAAACTATGCATTTAGTGTATTGTTTTCATATTTCATGAGCACTGTATAACATCTTGCATAATCTGTAATAGTTGTTTAATTTGTTCGGTCTCTACTGTAGCTACGGGATATGAATCGTTAGATAATTTCATTAGTTAAACAATTTAAGTTTTATTCAATAGGTGATAGACTACAATTTGGCTTCATACTCAGAAGTTTATGAAGGTGCACAGTTCACTAGTTGTCTTTCACAATGACTAAGATTCACCATTTAGGACTGATTAAATGTACAGAGGCGGATTTTTCAGTTGATACTCATGTATTGAAATAATGACCATTAGAATTATCAGGTTTTATACACAGTAAACAATTCACATCAAATTTTCGCTCATTATTTTGAATTGATTCAATATGCTTTTCAAATTTTTCATTTTTTTTTCTGTGGTTGAAAATCTGAGTTCATATAGTCTGTCAATCCAAGTTGTCTCGTTTCAAAGTTTCCCAGTGTAAAAATAACAGAATAAATAATTAAAGACGAAACGATTAGAAATTATTAGATATAAACTTCTTGAAAAGAAACTGTATGTGAAATTACTATTGTGGTGGTGTTTGGTTCTCTGTGCTGGATGTTTTGGTTGTGGAGCTTTCATTGTTCTTCTGAACAACATCATCAGCACAAACTTCTTCAGATAGAAGTGAAGCATTTGAATTTCTCCACGTTTGACCTGTAGCTTGTTCTGCTAACCTTGATCTTGATTGGTTGTTGTTGACCTTAAACCTGTCATCATTGTTTGCAATTACTATGACTTTATCAATTAGACCTTCAAAAGAGTAGTAACATCGCTTTTTATAGATGTATTTAGTATGTCTGTACTCTTTCTTGTATATGTCAGATACTTTATTCTTTTATGTATTCTATTTATTTATAACTAGCTTATAATTTAATAAAGCATCCTTTCCCTTGCCCATGTACATATCGTCATGCATTTATGCATTTTGTTGATATTACTGGACCGCCTGGAAAGAGTTTATTATCAGCATGTTTAAATTCCATTTCTAATCCTGAAGAATCACAATTTGTTCAGCTTCTTATTTCTGATAGTGACGATGGAAAAGTATGTTCTGTTTGTTTGTACAGTGAAATATTTTGTAGCTTTCTTTAAATATGTATATTTTTAAGACTATAAATCCTTATGCTTAATAACAATCTATGCCTCTCTAACAGCATAGTATTTGTACAAAGCGACTTATTTATTCATAGTTTATTCATTAAGTATCTATGTATATGTTGATTGTTGGGTATCATCTCTTGGTTGAGACCTGGGCAACTTTTTATTTCGGATATTACTTTCTTTTAATTATGATAAGTTTTGTATTTGAATGTTTAGGCAACGTCTGCGCCTAACTGTTTCCTGATACGCAGAAATTTTATAGCCTTGAATCCTGGACAGAAAATTAAAGTTGGGAAATATAGAATAATTTCTACTTATAAACTTTGATTTTCATTTCCTGGTCGCACAAACCCATGCAAAGATATTTTTTCTTGAAGTAAATTAGCGGAAGTAAGTTGATAATAGTCCTGACCCAAGAAAATGACTCCGGAACTTAAATGACTGGCGATGGAGACTGACAAACACATGGTGTTCTTATGAGTAGTTTATGGTTCTTTAGCTTCATACTTTCCAGCTCTTATATTCAACACTAAAACCCTGAAAGCAAGAAGTCGTGCTATTTTTGAAACTAACTTCGTCTGACCTTATCACCATGACAGCCCCCTGTACAATGAGCAGCACTTATGCCTCAAAACTTAGATCTACGATTTTATGTATTTTTTCAGTCCAGGTGACCAGCTTCGATATTGGTGAAACGTCAAGAAACAACTATTTCAATCAATTATGTTGTCACAATGTACAGTGCATAACTGATTAGTAATAACTAAAAAAAATAGCAGAACACAACAGTAGTGAATAGACCCAATGGAAGCTTATGCTAAGAGAATTATTGAACAACAATTATAACAAACACACTTGCCCACTAATCATACAATAAGAACATGAGTAATAATTGGAAAAATAGTTCCGAAAGTTTTAACTTTTTCTTAAGCCCATTTCTTTATAGCAAACATTTTCAATTTAAAGTAATCAAACGTTTAAAATATTTTTTTACTATGTAGTAACATTTAAAAATTCTTTCTTTCTACCGAGTAATTATGAAGTAATTAACTGCAGACCATTGTATCATATATGTTACGTTTTAGCCATTTACAATTAGAATATGTAAAAACGGTGATTTTGTCATGTAATGTTTAGATTAGAATTACTATTTATCTTTAATTAAGTAAGATTTTGAAGGTAACACTCCCCCAGTATATACACAATAAGAATATGAAGTTTTCATTATTTTGTTTGATACTACAGTAAGGTGTATTGTGTATGCGACAGTTTGCTAACCAATAACTGTTGGTGACTCAGAGATATCCCCAGAACTCATTTGGAAAAGATCCTAATTTTGTAATTTATTTCTGAAATTTTGAATTTTTATGTTTTCGTGCCAAAGACGCTTAGTTGATCTTCAGCTTACATTTCCCATTCGAAAAATCCTTGACCGTTATTGGTTGACAGATTATTTTAGTGATCATCATATAAATAAGCTTGAGTTGTATGCTTATCGACCTGGTATTTCTGGGTGTGCTTGTGAATACATTTTCTCTATGTCTTATCAAGACTTCTTTCTCTAGTTAGAGGGGCCTGCAACCATTGGGATTAGAATAGCCTATCGTATCACTGCATCGTTGATCTTCGTTCCATTTACCGAGTAAGGTGAACTTGTAATAACTGCATGCATATCAATAACTGGTGATGTTGAATCGACTAGTTAATTTATACGTATCTCTTCTATTGTTTTTGATTTACAGAATTCTTAATTTTTGTCATAATCATGACGTAATTTGTATGCCTCAATAAACGTGTGCATATATCCGTAAATGTTCGTTTTTTTTTTTACCTAAGACAAGTTTTAAAGGCTTTTCAGAGATATATTATTTCTTAATCACTTTTTTTTTAATGTTTCTGATATTTTTAAAGAAATTATATTCAAAATGGATTTTAGAAGAACATCGTGGTCTAGTCGATGTATTGCAAGACTTAAAGTCATTTCGACCACCAGCTGATCTTTTGTTGGAGTTGTTGAATCCTTTGAAACCAAGATTGTACAGTATATCATCGTCTTCATTAGTTCATACAAATCGAATACACATAACTTCTGCTGTAGTAAAATACAATACATATTCAGGTTAGTATTCATTAATCACAACAATTTTTATACAGGGTGGGGGGGGTGAACAAATTTCATTTATTTTGTCTGTTGAATTAATTAATAATGTATTAAACTTGGAGTATGTATTTTACACGTGTTAAGCTCAGAACGATCTTATATCCAAGTTTAACATACAAAGAAGTCAAGATCAGATAGAATACGTATATTTGAATCAGATTTATGTGATCAAGTCTCCAGTTAATACTACGATTTTTGTGGAAAATACAGTTTTAGTTATTCAGTCGGTGGTAGAATATACATTCAGTAAAAACATCCAAGGTGCTCAGTATTAAATTGTACATCAAAATGAATATCGCATCGTTTGTATTTGGCCTTTAATTTAATCTCCTGCTTTAATATCTTCTCAGTCACTTCTTGTATCGCTCTAATTGATGCTTATGCATTTAGTTTTGGTGTTTAGTCTTACTCATTTAAATGTTGGTAGATCATGCTTTTAGTAATCATAAATAAACCATATTTTCAAACTAACATTTGAATGGCACATTAGCAGTTGTTAATTTGGTTGCTGAATATGATTGACATACGACACACATCAATACCATACTCATCTTGATTTGTAAATGAACTTGTTCATTACTAGTTCTACCCTGAGACATAAACGTTGACAGTGGTAAGCTTTAGTGGCAAACTTACGTGTACAAGAGTTGAATCGGGCATTTAAAAAATTGAGGAAAACAAGTATTCACTGTGTTAATAAGGTTTTAATTGAAAATGATCCTATTTATTATGATATAACTGAAGTTTTTATGGGCATGTTTATAGAACAAATGATTGGTATTTTCTCATTCTAGGTTATGATAGTTTGTTGGTGTTGTGTGGACATAAGTATATTAAACGCTGTGATTAGTTTCCGATTGAGTGAGTTAGATTTAATGCTAAAGAGTAGATTTTCATGACCACTTCTGTTTTGAACTAGTTTAAATTTGAAATGAAGATGACTTTAAAAAAACAAAGACAGTTAAGCTGCATAGAAGTCACAACAAAAGAGACGGTTGAATGTGTCATTGTAGTCATGCTGAAGATGATGTGTATTACTGACGGTTTCTGTACTCTTTATTTTATCCCCGAATGCTGTACTATAGGTAATGATCGACTAACTGAAACTATATATATATATGAACCTTTTATATAATTAGCGACTTACATGTTAATCAAGAACTTAAGGTGGAGATTTGACGTTTCTATTAAAAGGTACAGGAAATGTCTAACATTTTAAGCCACATTTGATGGCTTCTATTTTGGTTGCTTGATCAGTATCATAAGTCCACTTTTTATTCCTGTTGCATACAAGAGATCGAAAATATTAATAGCTGGACACTAGTGAATAGTTTATCAGCAATAAAATCGATTTAAACGGACTCAGTATCGTATTTCCTCTTCAATATACAATATATGTATTATTTGACTCTTGAAGTTTCTGTAGTTTAAACCGATAACACAAAATCTGCATCTATTTACGATAGAAATTTATATCCTAACTAGCTACTGAATAGTTAGTCGTATTTTATAGCGCAGAGGTTCCATGATTTTCTATAGCACTTTGATAAACCTGAAAAGAATTGATTTTAGCAATCTGGACTTCCTAAATCATTATTATTTAGGAACTGACTGAACTCCTAACTTTATACTGTTGTTGAAGCGTTTCATACTTTCATTAATTTTCTGGTGAATTACTTTTCAAAATTTAATTAACATATTTGCTTAGCGAATATTAGGTATCTTGTGGTATACTAATTACCATATCTTCTGGACTTATCACAAAAATATTTTTGATTTTTCATAATGTGCTAGAGTAATCTTTACTAACATCAATCATCATTTTGTTGTTTGTGTGTTCAGGACGAATATTCAAAGGACTAGCTAGTAATTGGTTGAAATCATTACAGTTAACAAGCACTCAGCATCACTTGAAAATACCGATTACAATTCACACCAGTAATTTTTACTTGCCTCGAAGTCGTACAATCCCAATCATTATGATAGCTGCTGGGACGGGACTGGCTCCATTCCGTGCATTTATACAAGAACGCTTAAAGATGGCTCACGATAAAGGTGATCCATTGTTTTAACTTATTGATATCCCTTAAATTCATTTATGATTGTTTAAATGTTACTAGCTACACCTGTAAGATGATCACTGTTCAATTGATTAATAATCCCCATCCTACTCTGAAGATGATCTTCTTATGTGATTATAGCGTGTAGCTCTTGGAATACAGACTTTTAATTCAAAAACCTGTCGTGAGTATTAATCAATATTAAGCCATAGATACTTGCTGCTATTTTATTTGTAGGTTTTCATGACTGAGTTTGTCTTAGTGCCACTAGATAAACTGATTGAAGAACTAACTATCTTATACATACTGAATAGTATTTTCTTAAGTTTACTGGGGATACTTGGAAACATTGAGATTCAGCCCAATGTAATTGAAAATCATAAATATAGATGTTAGAATAGGCCCCCCTAAAGTGTTTACGGGTACAGATAAGTAGGTTTTTATTCAACATTAACTTTCATTGTATTCCATTTATGTAGGCTGATATTATTACTTGTACTAACAACACATTTGCATGTTTTTGCTCTCTTCAATGATTGGTTAGTGGTGACTATGTTCGTGCCCAGTCGTATTTTATTAGTTTTACTCACTATTACTTATTATAAACCATGTATGCCTATTTTTTAGTTGGTAAGAATGGAAAGATGGTGTTATTTTTCGGATGTCGACATGAAAATGAAGATTTTATTTATTCAGACGAATTAAAACAAGCTTGCTCTACTGGCCTACTTGAAATGTTTACTGCTTTCTCACGTGATTCCGTCGATGGTAAAAAAGTTTACGTTCAGCATAAAGTGCTTGAAATGGGTAACATGGTGTGGGAGCTCTTGGATGAATGTTACGCATACATTTATGTATGTGGGTAAGTAGTTTAGAACTATGCTTAACTAAATTTAAAATGTGTTATAGATGGATTTCATGATCCGTTGTAAGGCATCTATGTATTATACTTTATTACGGAAAAAGCAGGTACACTGTACTGTGAACACCAGATAAATATTAAGTACAGTCCGTCTAGACTTTATAGACCATTTAAGGTTTTCTTATATTTTTGACATTCATGTATTTTCAGCAATTTGAATTTCAAGCGTATCATAGATTATATTCACTAAACGCTTAAAGAGAATAGCATTTCAATGTTTATCGGTCACTAGATCAAATTATCCTTTCCAAAATAAACTACTATACTCCTACCAATTACAATTTTGTACAAATTTTTAATTTCTTCACTCTCGAGGTGTTCTGCTAATATAAATGTTTAGAGTTATCAATTTCAAACTTAACAATTTCTTTTGAATAGTCAAGTTTGTCAGTGTTTACTGTTTATCTTCGCATACATTCTAAAAGATCTAGTTTAACTATATTACTCCCGGAATTCTGTTCATATATACTTTATCAGCGTCATGAAAATTATGTTTATTTAGTGAGACTAAGCCATAGTGCAAAAGAGATGATTTGCGTAACAGCCCAACTGCCTATTTTGACTACCATTTTGATTCAAACATGCATTTTGATACGTTTTCTAGGAACGCCACCGGCATGGCTCCAGATGTCCACTCGTGTTTAGTTGAATTAATAGTACAACGTTCTAAATTAACAAGAACAGCTGCAACCAGTTATTTGCTGGACCTGCGAAAGCAAGGACGATATCGTACCGATGTATGGAAGTAATTTTGAATATGCTTCTGACTAATATGTACAGTGTAACATAGTTTTGTATGGACCTTTGTTGATAGCACTTAATTAATAAAGTCTTGCTAATATGTCAAGAATTTTTATCTTCATATAACTCTAAAGTGATTTAAAAACGATGTGTTTATCTAGTTGAAATACATTTATAACAGCGGCGGCTTGTTGTAAAATATCCTTTTGCAGAAATAATGTGTCCAACCTAAAAATGACTGAATCTTTCCAGTAATGCTATTGAGCTTATCATACAGTAGACGCATGTTATATAAGGCTACGGTCAATATGTACTTTCAATAACACTATTACGGAATAATAACTCTCGTTAATGTCAGAAGAGATAATAGTGATACTACTAGAGTATATATCGAGGAAAACTGTCGTTATGAATACAGCACAATATTAAAAGATAGTTGAAAATAACAGGAAGACGAGGTTTCATCAATGTTAATTCGAGTGCGTTGTGCATGCCGAGTCATCGCCTACAACCAGTTGAAGTGAAAATAAAAATACAGCAGTTTTAAACATCATTTGACGGCTGAAGATGTGTCTGATTGGTGGAAATATCTTTACTCTTCGGATTGTTACAAATAATGAACCTTTTAGGATTGCTTTCTCGGCTCGCTTTTGTTTACATAGTTCTCGAATTTTCTTTTTTAGTTTACTATCACGCTTAGGATAATTAGATTTCCTATATTGTTGTTGTATTTAAGAATTGTAAACTAGATTTGTTCGACTAGCATTTATATCAGTCAGTCAGTCACAACGTAGAACTTCGTACGTACGTACATCAGTTCAAGTTCCCATACCACAGAGACACAGTTGTCAGTTCAAACTTCATAGTAATAGAGGTATTATCAGTAATCGGAGAGATTAGGGATTGAACATATGATTCGAGAAGTATGATCTAGTCAAATGAACTTAAATAGGAGAGATAAAGGTGATTAGGAATTAATAAGACTAGGATTTGAGAGAAGCCAAAAAATGAATTCACCTGCGCCATTGCAAACGGTTTTGAGTCATGTCATTGAAGATCTCTAACCATCGATTATTATTATCTCGCGGACCACAACCATGTAGTCTACACTTACCAACATGACTCAATCCACTTGTCAGTGACTTCATGGATTTGGTTTGGACGTCTCTAGCTTTCTTCCAACCTACTCTTACATCACAAAACATAGCTCGTCGGGCAGTCGGTGGGTAGGCCTACGTAGCACATGTCCCAACCACTTCAACTGATGAACTTACAGTACTCCATCTACTGACCTGCCATCCTTACCTAGTACTTGTTCCCTAACAACAACATTGCGTACTTGATAGTCCCAGGATACATGAGCAATGCTTCGAAGAAACGTGTGGTCGAAAACCAGTATCCTAAGAATATCTTCTACTCTGAGTGGGCATGGTTCGCATACATATAGTAGGAAGGAGCGAACTGCTGCACAGTGAACCCGTCTTTTGGTTAGCAAACAGATATGTAGCCTACGCCATAAGTGGTGCAAGTTTGCAAAAGCCAATCGAGCCTTCTGTATCCGTGCTGGGATTTCGTCAGTCATTAGGCCGTCAGCACCGATGAGACTGTCGAGATAAGTGAAGTGGGCAACACGCTCAACTGCTTCACTCCTTATCACTAGTTTAGATGCGAATGCAACCCAAACGTGAAGCGACATTTTGCATTTCGACGGGTAGAATCGCATCCCGACCATGCTTGTATTGTTGCTTAAGGTGTTGAGTGACTCTGCATTTTATCAGCGTCTCCTTCAAGTAGAAGTATGTCACCAGCATATTCAAAGTCAACAAACGAGTCTCCTGGTAGAAGGTCTGCCTCTGAAAATCAGACGAAGGTAATGTTATCTCTAAAGGCATATCTGTTAAACAGGAATGGAGAGAGTGGACAGCCCTGACGGACACCACTTAAAGTAATCAATTCTGATGACATTTTGCCATAAACTCTCACTCGACCTGTAGTGTTCGAGTAGAGAGAGCTTTTATAAGGTAAACATGCATCTCTGGTACACCTTTCAATTGCAGACACTGTCATAGGACCTCACGATCGACAAAGTCAAATGCCGCTTTAAGGTCAAGGAATACAACTATAGTGGGACGCCGAAATGTGTGTGTGTTCCAGGATCTGTCGTAGTGTAAAGATGTGGTCTGTACAGCCACGTCTAGGTCTGAAACCAGTCTGGTTTTCTCTAGTCCGCTCTTCACGAGCTCTAGTTAAGCATCTAAGTATTATCGAGTCTAGCATTTCAGACACTATATTAGTTAGAATGATCCCTCTGTGATTGTCATAAGGGAACTTTTATCCGTTTCTATAGACTGGGGCAATCAGTGATTTAAGCCAGTTGGAAGGGATTACGGCCAGTTCCCGAATTTTACTTAAGATCGCAGTCAATCTTAAAGCTAAAACTGGACCACCGTCCTTAAAAATCTCAGGGGTAAGTTTGTCAGGGCCTCTGTTCTCCCTCGCTTCAGATTTCCTATAGCTTTTTAAACTTCAATAAGAGTCGGCCGACTTATATCGATTCGCCATTCAGGTTGACTGGAGGTCATTGTAACCGGAGTGTGTCTGAATGCCAGTTGAACTGATCCCTAAAGTTCTCTGCCCCTTGATCCAATATCCTGGGTTGAGAATGAATGATACAACCATCCTTTTCTGAGATAGTTTCGCTAACAGTCGGATTCCAATTCTGGTTTCGTTGATAAGTTTAGATAGTTTTCTACTGCTACCAATTTCGGCCGCCTTTTCAATATTTCTTACTTTCGCTACCCTCCGCTGTGGGTGATCATTGTTCAGGCTTTTTATCAGCCTGCGCTTAAGTTGACTCTGCTTTTCGCCATGTTCAAAGCCAGTCGGGATGAATTTGAGAGCATCTGTCAGTTCGGTGGATGATACTGAGATCCACGGCTTCTTTCTAACCTTACGGTTTACCTCGCTAGCAGATATCACTGCCGTTCCCACAGCTTTTTGGATATCATTCCAAGCTGCTTTCGGATGGGCATCACTTACGTGCCCGCCTATCTATTTTTCTAGTGAGGTTAGTCGAAGTATGGCATTTTTAGGGTCGACCTTTTCTAACCCCTTCCTTCCTTGTGGGAAGGCAGCAGCTGTTGGTATCAGAGGGAAACACTTTACTAATGTTACACACCTCTACAGTCAGCAGTACGACTTCGCCTCAGACCTTGGGTTGCTACTTGTAGTCTCACCGTTCTCCAGTCAAACTTCCTGTCATGGTAGAACCTACAGTAACATATGTTCTAGCCAATATAGCTCAGTTGGGTCATCAAAGTAGGCAAGCCTGACCACCACGTCAAGGTAGTAGCAGCATCTATGTGAAATTTAGTGTTCCACCAACATTGTTAGACAGTGAATAAAATACACTTCATATAACTTAATGGTTGGTATGATCTTACAGACATATGAACGATAGCATATTATATAAAGTTTTACTTTCAGGAAAGTATTTATTTTATTCCCAAAACTGGTAGTTTTGATTCCACATCTATAAACGGGACAGTCTGACAGGTACAAAAGTTACTGATCATTTCTCCAACTGATATCTCTTCAAATATACTGGTGACTGTATAGTGGTAGATGGTGTTCAGAAGTACTGCAACATATTCGACTACAGAAAACACAGTATAAACTAAAATAAAAACATTAAGGACAACATAGATAAGTTAATAAATCACATATCACTCATGAATTTTAAATCGAGACAGTACAGCTGCAAATCTATTTGTAAATAAAGTGTGACATTCGGTACTGACAATCAGTTCCTTTCTTCCCGGATTAAGCTTTATCAAGAGAGCAGGTAATATACATCTGACAAACATTAGTTCCAATTCGCTTTATCTCAAATGTTTACTAAATGCAATAAAGACAGTGTATTCGTAAGCATAGGGTGCTTCACAAACTTTTATGTTGAATAACTTGAGTCCAAATATATGCACTGGAAATATTGGCAATTTTTCATAGACAGCATTCGATTGCGTCATTTAGTGAGAATACATCTCTTTATGAAACTGATTTTGTCTATCAAATTGATTAACCTATCTCGTTAATATCCACGAACATAATTTAAATGGAGTAAGTAAATTACCTGTTTCCAAGGTTCATAGTAAGTCTGTTAACCAGTGCACAGGTGGGTCAACGTTGAATGAAACATTTACGTGTGAAATTTATGATTATTACACAGTTTTGGATTGTTTTATGGTCCTTTAAAAAATATCATATTGGTATTAGAAGAACTTTTTCCGCATTCATATTGAAAATCTATTTATCATGTTACACCTTATCAACTAATAATTCAAAAGTGATAACACTAGTCAGTTAGTCAGTTACAATGTAAAAATTCGTACATAAGTACATCAGTCCATACTATCATAGAGCCGCAATTAGTTTGGGACTTATCTGAATGAAATGGAAGATATATTTATTTAAAAGCATTTAGCGTCATTGAGGTCTTAAATAAAATATCCACATTACTTTACAGAGAAAAACATATTGTCAATTATTTCCTACGATGAACAAAATAATAAGAATATTAGATAGATATTCAAGTTGAATAAACATACCATATGGGGGACAAAAAGTCACATGAATCCAGTGACACAACATTATCGTCGACAGACAAATGAAGTAGGAAACCATACAACGTTTCTTCCTTTGTAATACATTACTCTGGAAAACGATAAAACCATCGTTATGTTTAGATAGAAAAATACAGATGCGTGAAATACTTATGTACGGTGAGTGAGTCGTAAAGACAAATGTATACACTATTTGAGGTTAAGAAATAAGGAAACTAACCATGACTCACCCATTGACTGTCACCTTAATTTCCAGTTTACGGTATTACTATTCAGAAGTGTTTTTGAAATCATTTGTGACTCATGTTTGACGTATTTGTACATGCGTACAGTATGACCCATCCACTTGAGAAACACTTGCTTATGAACACGTGTTGTTGGCAGCACTTTGGTTTCAAATAATAAATACTTCAGACTAAGTTATTGGGCGTTTACAGTTCATTGAAAGCTATAGATATCATTCCTACTTGTGAAAGCAATGCTG